ACATTAAAGCTGAAGGAATCAAGATCATCCTGAACATAAAGACCACTCTTTCACATACCTATGTTGATTAAATATGCTAGTTTTACCTCCAGATAAAGATCACTTACATTATAAAGGTCATGTTCATTTTATAATTTGGTTGACCTTTGCTCACAAGTTTGACTGTACACCTAATACATTTTCGAGGTACAATTAAGTTTACGTTAAACCATAAACTCATCTGCACTCAGTGTCTATTCTATAAGGGGCGATGGGGGATTCATCCCTATTTTTGAGAACCCCCCCCCTCCTACTTTTCCAGAGGCAGAGGCAGAGAAAGAAGGGGAAAAATCAACAAATGTAAATTCTGACTTTTCGAAAAAAAAAAATCCCCCCTGTTTTTCAAATGCTAGAATAGACACTGTGCATTGTATGGGGTGCTAAGTTCTTTTGAATATATTTCAAAAATCACAATTTTGTTCACAGGTTTGACTGTACATCTAACAAATATTCAAGGTACAATTTAGTTTTCGTTAATCCATAAACTCATCTGCATTGTATGGGGAGCTTGGTATAATTATTTTTAGACATATTTCAAAAATCACAATTTTGAATATTGGAGAAAATTTATCATTAAGTGTCCTAAATATGACGGGGATACCAACATTAAGCATAGAAACAAAAACTGGACTTTACATGTTAAACTATGCATGGTTTCGTATACGTTTATACATGTCTAGTCGGGTTCATGATGGATAATTATTTGCAGTTATGGTACCTAGAAATAAATAACTCTCCGCTTTACAATGCTAATTAAAGTATATTTAATCACACTAATAAGCGGAATAATTATATTTATTGCATACAAGAGTCAAAATATATGTGACAACATAATCTAAATTCCTAGTTTCTGCTCACAAACGTTTTTTTTTTTAAATTAGAAGAACATTCAATAACTGTCCGTAAGTAACGTCAACGGAAGTAAATAAAAAACGACAAATGCTCCAACAATACCTGTCCGTTTACCAACTACAAGTATATTGCCAATGCAGGTGGACTTTCTAGTGCCTGCTGATACAATTAATTCAATTTCCAGACGGATACGTCCAAACAAGCTGGCGACATTAATGCTAAAGAAAAAACCAAACGTGAGAAAAATGTACAAAATGTATTAAGATTGTCAAAGCTACATGCCTCCAAATGATTCAAAATATCTTAAGAAAATCAAAATTGAGAAAAAATGTACTAAGATTGTAAGAAAAGTAAAAAGTATTTCAGATTTACATGATATGTTGCGATTAATGACTGATTTTGCAATGTTACTAACCACATTTCTTCTGCGTTACTAACGCTGTAAGGAATATTTTTGCATATGTTTATTTTGGCCTCCTTTTGGTATTTACTTGGATGATAATCTCCATTTGCACTTTAAAAATAAATATATATTTATAGATTATAGTAAAAGAATAGTCCGACTGTGCTGACAGTAATTTCCATCATTGTAGGCCTAACTCAATAAAAATGCTAATATAAAATATATCACGGTAATTTTCCATTATTGTCTAACTCATAGCCACGAGACCATGTTTTCTCATATAAAGCTTTGTTACTGTCCCAATGAAAACAATGATACTTAGATCTATGTTTAACTCACATACTATTTGAAACGTATATTATCTATATATGTCATGTTATTACCGTTCTAAAACTAACTGGAAAATAAAAGTGATTGTTGTTGTTATTATTATTGCAATGCGTCAATTATTTACATTGGCCATTCCACCTTTTTTAAAAACAAGAACATTCGTTTTATTAACTATCATTTTTTTGTAAAAACAACTCAATATCATTTACAAATAATGAGAAAAGTATCGGAGAAATTATCTCCCCTTGCAGTAATCCAACATCACATTTGAAAAAGCAGACAATGAATCCATATTACGTACACATAATGTAACATCTTCATACAGAGACCTTATTACACAAAATAAGCGTCCATTTACACCATGTTTTATCAGTTTTACCCATAAAGCATTTCTGTAACTAGAATCAAAGCATTTCATAAGATCAACAAAACAGCAATATTATTTCTTTTTTTTTGTTTTAATTGTCGTTCTATAAAAACATGAAGGAGAAATATAGCGTCTACTGTGCTATAGTAACATTTAAAACCAAATTGTGCATCAGTGAGTATATCATTAGTATCAGCCCACTTTTTTAAACGCTCGTTAATAACAACAGTAAATAATTTTGCAAAACAGCTGATTAGTGTTATACCTCTATAATTAGTAGGTTCACTAGAATCGCCTTTTTTAAAAACAGGTATAACAACTCCCTGTGACCATGATTTGGGAAAACAACCCATTTAAAATATGTTGAACAATATTTCTAAAAGTTTGTCTAAAATATCTATACCTTCGTTATATTTTACTATAAAAAATTCGTTTTCGAAATGTTCATGAAAATTAGCATGACATCTGGAGGCATGTTGCTTTAAAACAATTAAGATCATCAGTTAAATGTGTAATTGTTAATTACATACAATTATCATATTGATCATTATCTTATATGCTATCTCTTAGGGTGTGTATGAAAAAATATATATAGAACTCAATTATCAGTTAATTATATACATGTGTCTGATAACTTCCGGGTGTCAAATATTCTTTTGATTATGTGTTATCCATTTAGAGAATCTACTCGTATGCTACAAAAGCACAATTTCAATACTTTAACCGGAAACAATTTCATTTAAAGCAGATAATTACAAGTCTGTTATTGTATAAAAAGACAGCCTTATCCAGTGGAAATATGACATGATACAAACGTACTTGATGTAAGATATACAAAGCTACATCATTGAGGAGTCTAGCTTGAATATTTGCGCTAAAATATGTAATGAAAATAAATAAAATGATCTATCTTACAACTGCAAATGTTCAGATGAAAACAGAATATTAGGTAAGTTTTCTTAAGATTTACGTGTTTAGAATCGATCAGTTACGGTTTTATTTATTAGCTCATATTTGATTCTTATTAATTGAATATTTGCTGATTTCTTTAAGGATATCTATCTATCTACATATTGGCAACTTTATCCAATTACCTGAAAAGTGTAAAGCATAATTTGTAAGAGAATTGTGCTATGAAATATTATTGAATTTGTTATGATTTTCGACTTTCGAAAGTTTGCAATAAAGATTAAATGTATTAATTGTTTAGTGCAGTATGATACTTACGAACTTGTTTACAGAGTAACTCCCCTTTGATTACCTTGCTCCAGTAAAATGAAAGTGCTGCAGCACTGAATGCGACGGACATGCAACCGGAGAGACATTAGGCTTTTTTTTTTAGAAAAAAAAAAAAAAAAAAAAATAAAACACAAAATATATAACAGAGAAAATTTGTTCCATACAAGTTCGAGATTTTTAGAGCTATATATTTTGTGTCCCAATCTGATATAATTCAGACTTTTTACTTTCAAGCATTTAAATACAGAATGAAATTTATGCCTAAAAACTCTGGTCAAACTTGCAAATCAGTGTTCTTATCGATTTATTCCAAGAAATGATATGTAAATAGAAAAAAAACTGTCAACGAAATATTTCTAAAATAAAACCATGCAAATAATCTTCAAGCATAATATATTATACATGTGAGAATGTTATTTAGAATTGCTTTGTGTTATAACATAGTGGACATAAAGACAATAAAATATAAGTCATTTGTATTTTTATTTCTCTTGGATATGTCTCATTAAAAATATTTTTGGTTAAAATCATCAGCAATTAATAGTGTATTTTTTAAGATTTTTTTTATTTACAAGGGCCAGCTAGAGCACATCGTTTTTATTTTAATTTAAATGTCACTTAAGCACTACGGTGTTTAGTTGTTTTTTCATGTTCACACTAAATTCCATTTTCAACTTGTTTGCAGCCGCCTCCGTGGTCGAGGGGTTAGAGTCGATGACTTCTAATCAAGTTACCTCTCTGGCGTGGGTTCGATCCCCGGGAGATGCTTTGGTAGTTTAGCGCGGAGGAAGGTAGTCTAGTACTGGTGTAACTCTCCAGGAACGATGGTTAGGAAACTACCCGCCTATATGACTGAAATACTGTTGGAAAAAGGCGTAAAATGAAACAAACAAGCAAACAATCAACTTGTTTGCTTCTTGCTTCTTACGATTGTATAGAATTTTTAAAAAAAGTATTGCATGGCATGTAAACAAAGTAAGTATCCGCTGGTTTATTACATGCACTAATCGCCTGTCCGAAAATCAGCACAGGTGCAGCAGAATCTATTTTTAGAATAGCGAAGGTTAACTCATATCGTGACCTAGAAAAATATGTAAACAAACCACAAGAATCGGAAGTAGAACTGATATTATAACTTCCTTCAATAAAGATTACAATGAAAGACTACATGGTGGTAAAGTGTTGAAAAACCCTCTTGTTACATGCATTTTCAAAAATAGATATTTATACTAACCATTGTACTGTATCTAATTTATTAATAACTGCTGAATATTCAGCTAAACCCGCGGTATGAGTCACGAAATTAGTTCTTCTTTTATTAATGCGCGAGTTATTCTAGAGTCACGAAAAACTTTTGATTTGTTAATAATAATGTTTCGTATAATGTAGAAATATTTATTTCCTACTAATAATTTCTTGGAACTCAGAGCTTACACCTTTATTATAGTATAATTTGCTGTCCTACTTTTTCGACAGCGGTAAATGGTTTCGGCAGTAATTTGCATATTGCGCAATAATACTACGGGACTACAACGTTTTTATCAATCATTTACGTTTATATTTTAACTTGGATAACTAATATTGAAATCGAAAAGGCTAAATATGGAAGATTTTAAGATATCCCGACAAAGTATCGGAGTTTTTAAGGATAAAATTCATGTACTATTTCTTGGGCTGTTAATTGGTTGAGGACACTTTTCGCGATTGTAGCAGACGAAATCCCATGTGTAGATGTCTTAGCTCTGAACGCGCCTGAGGGCGCGTCCGTCGCAAAAAGCGAGGAGTGTAATTTGTATTTGATGTGAGAATTATACATACGACGTTTGTTACATTGTACAACTATTAATGTTTTTTTTTTTTAAACGGAGAAAAAAAGTCAGAGAAACTAACTGAAATATATTTCACAAATTTTGATAGATCAAACAATAAGGGTACTGTACTTAAGATGTTGATCCATTTTTAGTATTTTTGTTTTCGTTTCGTTAAAGCATTAATTTTAAATGGAATTTTAAACAATAGATTATATAAAAATATCTCACAGTATTTTTGTTACAAAATAATCACGTGTATTTTTGTATTTAATAATGTAAATATGTATAATTATATTATGATGCCTGCCATAATCTATGTTTAAACCATGACTTACATTTACTATGTTTAATTATTTTATAACAGTTAATGATTGTGATTGCATATACACTATATTTATATGTATTTTTTCTATTGTGTTAAAAATATATGAAAATGGGAAATAAAATGTAATAATAATAAATAACACGGTAGGGAATCACGTGACTTTTACGGTTACGCGTACAGACAATATGGCGGCCTAAAAACCTCGCTTCACATGTGTTTTTCAGGTAATTCTTTATTATATCCCTTTTACTTACATACGAGACCTGTTGCAGCCTACGCGGAATAAAGAATTGTTGCCGCCTATACCTTAGTTTCCACCCCTGTGCTCATAGCTTTCACAAACACTCAAATATTCAAAAGAAATTTTCAATGTGAACAATTATATTTCGGGTAACATTCACGCAAAATTTGTATTTTTTATGAATTTGATTAAACTACGTCGAGTTAGCAATGAGAAAATGTTCATATAATTTCTTTATTTGAAAATGTAAATATTAGGCATGTTAAATGTTGACTGGTCATTTTCTATTCCAATTAATGAGAGAAAAATGATTTGGGTAACTCCCACGCATACTTTTATTGTTGATAACTCCCACGCAATATTTTATGGGTAAGCAATATCTATGCAGGTTATAGCCTAGATATTGATTGGACAAAATCATGATTGATGCATTTAGCCTTAAACGTTCAAAGAATTTTGAATAATATTAAAAATACCGCCAAAAGGTCATGGATAGAATGAAGCCTCTATGGATAGCAGAATACATACTCACGTAAATATATTAAATGAAGTTTTGATATAGATGAATTTATCGCAGAAATTAAAATACAAGTCTCAAATATAAGAAGGAGGTCGATTTCAGTTTAAGCACAATTACAGTTGTCAATTTTCATAGTTTGCAGATATGGACGGTTCCAGCTCGGATATTGTTTACATGTGGATAATGTTGGACAACATTTGTCTTAATGACCACATAAACTGGCTACTGGGCACAGGACCTTGTAAATGTTGTGGCAAGTCGAAACGTGACAGGTATGGCATTTTATGTTATTCGTTATATTAAGATTTTAAAGACATTCAAGTCATTAAATATCACTTAGTCTTTTATGTAACCAACTTTTTTTCAAATTAGTATCTGTATTTAACATTATTATGTTGTGTTTTTTTTAATCTAAAGCATAAAAAAATAAAACCTAAAGAATATTAGAATGGGTCTTTTATTTTACAAACTAGGTAATAAAATATAGAGGACTTATGTTTGAATGTCACCTAAATATCAACAGTAAAACCCGTAACGTTTCCGATTTGCTGGGCTATAAAATGTTTTACCACAACATTATAAGGTCCTGTGCCGAGTGGACTGTTTATGTGAACATTAATTGAGACCTATCCGTAAATGAAATATTTTCCACATTTGTCACAAACAATAACCGAGCTGGAACCTTCAATATCTGCAAACTATAAAAATGACAACTGTAATTTTACTTATAAAAACAGAAATACAAAACCTCCTTCTAATATTTTAGACTTTTGTATCAAAACGCGACCTAATTGAATGATTTGGGTTTGGTAGGCCTTACGCGAAGTTATTGGTGTCCTTGGCAATTTATGATTTTACAAGCCATGCCTTTTTGAAATTTATTTTTCATATTATTGTAACCTATAAGTAGATGAAGTGTTGTTCGCCCCATATAATTTACGTCCCAAGACGATTCGTCAATTTAGCTGTATTCATTTTATATCTTAGTGATAGTAAAATTAAATGTGAATAAGTTTGAAAAATACATTAAATCCATTGCATTATCAAAACAAATATTGATTAAACTGTTTGAGGTTAAATAATAAAGATGAGTGTTAAATTTTAAGTTTAATTGCCATGAATTTATAGGGAATAATAAGTCTATTTTATATTCTAGATCCTGGTCCTGGCTGAAATTAAGAGTATTACAGCTGTAGCTTCTATACCATAAATTTAACATGGAAAGGACTGTTCTTGTGAAAATGCTGACGTAACTGATGGGAGCAGTTTTTCTTACCAATCATAGGTCAGACTTAAATAGCTTCTTTTTAAAAAGTTTTTGTTGTTTTTTGTACATAATTTACTGTCAATATGAAACTTCAGCTGTATCTTAATTTCTATGCTTTTTTATTACGAAAAGATAAGCATTTTAAGATAAAACAAATCACTAAGTTGATTAATTATATATAATTTGAGATTGACCAAGTCAACTAGTAGTCAACTAGTAACTTCTTATTTTATTTGCAGAAGCAGTAGAAGTATTCAAACACCATCATGAAACACTTGAGACATACCCAGAGAGCTCTAGAAGAAGTACTAGTGGTAGATTGGAACAGATTGTAGCTTAATTGTTAAACTAAAAGGACTTCTTAAATCGTTTGAATTTAAGCTACACTTGAACTGTAGTAAACTGTTTTGAAATAAAATAGCTGAAGTATTTAAAAGTGTCTTGATTTTTTTGTTCAACTCTGTTACAGTACTTTGCTTTATATTAGAATTAAAGTATGTTGAAATGACATTGAAACTTCAACGTTGTGCCAACGTTGAACTTCAACGTTTTTTTAAACTTTCAAATTCGAACATAAATCTAACGTTATTTCAACGTTGAAATCTGACCATACTTCAACGTTGTTCACCGTTGATGTGTCTGCTGGGATACTTTTATCAAGAACCTATTGGCGGTATTTTTAATATTATTCAAAATTCTATGAAAGTTTGATGCTAAATGCATCAATCATGATTTTTTTCAATCAATATCTAGGCTATAACCTGCATAGATATTGCCTGCACATAAAATATTGCGTGGGAGTTATCAACAATAAAAGTATGCGTGGGAGTTACCCAAATCATTTTTCTCTCGTGTAATGGAATAGAAAATGACCTGTCAATATTTAACATGCCTAATATTTACATTTTCAAATAAAGAAATTATATGAACATTTTCTCTTTGCTAACTGACGTAGTTTAATCAAATTCATAAAAAATACAAATTTTGCGTGAATGTTACCCGAAATATAATTGTTCACATTGAAAATTTCTGTTGAATGTTTGAGTGTTTGTAAAAGCTATGAGCACAGGGGTGGAAACTAAGGTATAGGCGGCAACAATTCTTTATTCCGCGTAGGCTGCAACAGGTCTCGTATGTAAGTAAAAGGGATATAATAAAGAATAACCTGAAAAACACATGTGAAGCGAGGTTTTTAGGCCGCCATATTGTCTGTACGCGTAACCGTAAAAGTCACGTGATTCCCTACCGTGAATAAGAACTTTTCTAAAAGTGATCAGTTACACATTTTGTACATGTATTTGAAATTAGATTAATGTTTTTCTTTCTTAATACAGGAAATTGATCGTAATGCAGAAATGTGTAGGGAGTGCAAGAAAGCGGGTAAGGAAATAGTATATTGAAACAGAAATGATGAGCATAATCGGAGAGGAGAACTGTAGATGTAAAATTTGTGATAAGCTTTTCTCTAACGACAGTCAACTTAAAACACACATGGCGATTCACACCAGTGAGAAACATTTTAGATGTGATACATGTGATAAAACATTTCCTTACCTTAGTGAACTGAAAAGACATATCCGCATGCACACTGCTGAGAAGGATTATAAATGTATTAATTGTGACAAAACATTTCTTAGTCCGTCTTATCTTCAAAGGCACATGTCAATTCACAATGGTGTAAAGAACTTTGCATGCGAAATATGTGATAAATCTTTTAGTATCAAAAGTAATCTAAAAAGGCATATGCTGATAATTCACAGTGGCGAGAAAAAACATAAATGTGAAATTTGTGATAAAGCATTTGCCCATAGAGACTACCTTACAGTGCATTTGATAATCCACACAGGTGAGAAGAAATACAAATGTGAAATTTGTTCTAAATTATTTACCCAACGAGGTCAACTCAAGGCACATATTCCAACACATGCCGGTCAGAAGATTCATAAATGTGAAATTTGTTTTAGAACATTCCCATATGCAAGCAGACTGCAAAAACATATAAGCACTGCAAATCACACTGGTGACAAAAAGTTTACATGTGGAATTTGTGAAAAATCATTTCTTCTGAAACACCACCTTAGTACCCATTTACGAATACACACAGGCGAGAAGAATTTCACTTGTGGAGTTTGTGATAAGTCATTCCGATTTAAAAGTAATCTTAAAAGTCATTTGAAAATTCACACTGGCAAAAAGAACAATGTATGTGGGGTTTGTCAAAAAACCTTTTACGAAATTGGTGATCTCAGAAAACATATTGAGATTCACATTGGAACTAAGCAATATAAATGTGATCTTTGTGGTAAATCATTTGCTCAGAATTCTGGACTTCGCAAGCACATGACCATTCACATGGGTATCAAGAGACATAAATGTGAAATATGTGATAAAATGTTTTTGGAGAGCAGTAAACTTAAAAGACATATGACCATTCACACTGGTGATAAAATGTCTAAGTGTGAAATATGTGATAAATCATATTCTCGAAGTGATTCCCTTAAAAGGCATATGCTGAGTCACACTGGTCATTGAAGTTATACTTATCATATATAGTAATAAAGTAGATTAACTCAGTGATGTAAATGATCAACGACACTGATTGGAGTCGCATTCAATGACAATTTACATTGGTTACAAGAATTACTCGTAAGTAGTCCTGTACCGGTATTTATATTCTGGCATAATCTGATATACTTTTTTCTCTCATTTTTTTCTTTTATTATTATCATGAATCATTTGTATATATGTATTGTTTATGTTGTGTCTCTGTTGTTGTCATGAAGCTATTGATTTGTAAACAAAATGTGTGGCAAATGTTGCGTTTGTAAAAATCTTTATACTGTTTCTGTTCTATTTTATTTTGTGTTTTTACTGTCATAGACTTTACATTAAAAATGACATTTACAGACAATACAGGTTTGGTGGGGATAAACATTAGAATATTTAAAAGAAAACGTTATTTTATATGCAGTAAACTGAAAATACCAAAACCACAATTATGTACTCTTTCACATACCTATGTTGATTAAATATGCTAGTTTTACTTCCAGATAAAGATCACTTACATATAAAGGTCATACTTATTTTATAATTTGGTTGACCTTTGTTCACAGGTTTGACTGTACATCTAACAAATTTTCAAGGTACAATTAAGTTTACGTTTATCCATAAACTCATCTGCATTGTATGGAGAGCTTGGTACAATTTTTCTTAGACATATTTCAAAAATCACAATTTTCAATACTGAATAAAATTTATCATTTAGTGTCCTAAAATATGACGGGGATACCAACATTAAGTATAGAAACAAAAACTGGACTTTACATGTTAAACTATGCATGGTTCCGTATACGCGTTTATACATGTCTAGTCGGGTTCATGATGGATAATTATTTGCAGTTATGGTACGCAGAAATAAATAACTCTCCGCTTTTCAATGCTAAATTTTATTTAATCACACTAATAAACGGAATAAGTAAATTTATTGCATACAAGAGGGAAAATATATGTGACAACATAATCTAAATTGCTAGTTTCTGCTCACAAACATTTTTTTTTAAATTAGAAGAACACTCAATAACTATCCGTAAGCAATGGCAATGTAAGTAAATAAAAAGCGACAAATGCTCCAATAATACCTGTCCGTTTACCAACTACATGTATATTGCCAATGCACGTGGACTTTCTAATGCCTGCTGGTACAATTAATTCAATTTCCAGACGGATACGTCCAAACAAGCTGGCGACATTAAGGCTGAAAAAAAAAACCAAACGTGAGAAAAATGTACATAATGTATTAAGATTGTCAAAGCTACATGCCTCCAAATGAGCCAAAATATTTTAAGAAAATCAAAATTGAGAAAAATGTACTAAGATTGTAAGAAAAGTAAAAAGTATTTCAGATTTAAATTAATAAGTTACATGATATGTGCGATTAATGACTGATTTTGCAATGTTACTAACCATATTTCTTCTGCGTTACTAACGCTGTAAGGAATATTTTTGCATATGTTTATTTTGACCTCATTTTGGTATTTACTTGGATGATAATCTCCATTTGCACTTTAAAAATAAACATATATTTATAGATTATAGTAAAAAAATATTCCGACTGTGCTGACAGTAATTTCCATCATTGCCTAATTCAATAAAAGTGCTAATATAAAATATATCACGGTAATTTTCCATTATTGTCTATCTCATAGCAACGAGACCATCTTTTCTCAAATGAATCTTTGTTACTGTCCCAATGAAAACAATGATACTTAGATCTATGTTTAACCCACATATTATTTGAAACGTATATTGTCTATTTGCCATGTTGTTACCGTTCTAAAACTAACTGGAAAATAAAAGTGATTGTTGTTGTTATTATTATTGCAATGCGTCAATTATTTTCTTTATTCACTTCACAAAACTTCATGTTCAATGTGGAATTAAAGACTTTCGCATTAAGGGCTAATTTTGCATATTTTAACATCATATTTTAACATCGTTCTGTTAATTGAGGTAGATTTTTAATGCCGTTTGTAATGTGTAAATTATTTTTTTGTGCACTTCGTTATATTTTACTATAAAATATTCGTTTTCAAAATTTTCATGAAAATTAGCATGACATCTGGAGGCATGTTGCTTTAAAACAATTAAGATCATCAGTTAAATGTGTAATTGTTAATTACATACAATTATCATATTGATCATTATCTTATATGCTATCTCTTAGGGTGTGTATGAAAAAAAAATTATAGAAATCTAATTATCAGCTATAATTATACATGTATCTGATAACTTCCGGGTGTCAAATATTCTTTTAATTAAGTGTTATCCATTTAGAGAATCTACTCGTATGTTACAAAAGCACAATTTCAATACTTTAACCGGAAACAATTTCATTTAAATCAGATAATTACAAGTCTGTTATTGTATAAAAAGTCAGCCTTATGCAGTGGAAATATCACATGATACAAACGTACTTGATGTAAGATATACAAAGCTGCATCATGGCGAGTCTTGAATATTTGCGCTAAAATATGTAATGAAAATAAATAAAAAGAGCTATTTTACAACTGCAATATTCAGATGAAAACAGAATATTAGGTAAGTTTTCTTAAGATTTACGTGTTTAGAATCGATCAGTTACGGTTTTATTTATTAGCTCATATTTGATTATTATTAATTGAATATTTGCTGATTTTCTTTAAGGATTTATATCTATCTACAGATTGGCAACTTTATCCAATTACTTGAAAAGTGTAAAACATAATTTGTAAGAGAATTGTGCTATGAAATATTATTAAATTTGTTATGATTTTCGACTTTCGAAAGTTTGCAATAAAGATTTAAAGTAATTAATTGTTTAGTGCAGTATGATACTTACGAACTTGTTTACAGAGTAACTCCCCTTTGATTTACTTGCACCAGTAAAAAAAACACGGGAGTGTAATTTGTATTTGATGTGAGAATTATACATATGACGTTTGTTACATTTACAACTATTGATGTTTTTTTAAAAAAAGTCAGAGAAACTAACTGAAATATATTTGATCAAACAATAAGGGTACTAAAGATGTTAATCCATTTTTAGTTTTTTTGTTTGTTTTTGTTTCGTTAAAGCATTAATTTTAAATGGAATTCTAAACAATAAATTATATAAAAAAATATGTCACAGTATTTTTGTTACAAAATAGTCACGTGTATTTTTGTATTTAATAATGTAAATATGTATAAATATATTATGATGCCTGTCATAAATGTATGTGCTTAATCTATGTTTAAACCATGACTTATATTTACTATGTTAAATTATTTTATATTATTTAATGATTGTGATTGCATATACACTATATTTATATGTATTTTATCTATTATGTTAAAAATATATGAAAATGGGAAATAAAATGTAATAATAATAAATAAGAACTATTCTAAAAGTGATCAGTTACACATTTTGTATTTGAAATTAGGTTAATGTTTTTTCTTTCTTAATACAGGAAATTGATCGTAAAGCAGAAATGTGTAGGGAGTGCAAGAAAGCGGGTAAGGAAATTTAGTATATTGAAACAGAAAATTCAAATGATGAGCATTACCGGAGAAGAGAACTGTAGAATCTGATGTGCAATTTGTGATAAGCTTTTCTCTATAATGACAGTTAACTTAAAACACACATGGTGATTCACACCAGTGAGAAACATTTTAGATGTGATACATGTGATGAATCATATTCTTACCTTAGTGAACTGAAAAAACATATCCGCATTCACACTGGTGAGAAGGATTATAAATGTGATAACTGTGACAAAATTAACATTTCTAAGTCCGTCTCATCTTCAAATGCACATGGCAATTCACACTGGTGTAAAGAATTTTGCATGCGAAATATGTTATAAATCATTTAATTTCAAATGTAACCTTCAAAGGCATATGGCAATTCACAGTGGAGAGAAAAACTATAAATGTGAAATTTGTGAGAAAGCATTTTCCCAAAGAAGCAACCTTACAGCACATTTGATAATCCACACTGGTGAGAAGAAATACAAATGTGAAATCTGTTCTAAAGTGTTTACCCAACGAGGTCAACTCAAGGCACATGTTCCAGTTCATGACGGTCAGATGATCCATAGGTGTGAAATTTGTTTTAGAACATTTCTCTATGCAAGCAAGCTGAAAAAACATATGAGCACAGCAAATCACACTGGTGAGAAAAAGTTTACATGTGGAATTTGTGAAAAATCATTTCTTCTGAAACACCACCTTAGTACCCATTTACGAATACACACAGACGAGAAGAATTTCACATGTGGAGTTTGTGATAAGTCATTCCGATTTAAAAGTAATCTTAAAAGTCATTTGAAAATTCACACTGGCAGAAAGAACAATGTATGTGGGGTTTGTCAAAAAGCCTTTTATGGAATTTGTGATCTCAGAAAACATATGGAGATTCACATTGGAACTAAGCAATATAAATGTGATCTATGTGGTAAATCATTTGCTCAGAATTCTGGACTTAGCATGCACATGACCATTCACATGGGTATCAAGAGATATAAATGTGAAATATGTGAAAAAATGTTTTTGCAAAGCAGTGCTTTTAAAAGACATATGGCCATTCACACTGGCGATAATAGGTATATGTGTGAAATATGTGACAAATCATATTCTCGAAGTGATTCCCTTAAAACGCATATGCTGAGTCACACTGGTCATTGAAATTATACTTCTCAAATATGGTAATATAGTAGATAAACTTAGAGATGTAACCTATAATTGTAATTCCAGTGATAAATAAATAATCAACGACACTGATTGCAGTCGCATTTAATGACAATATACATTGGTTACTCGTAAGTAGTCCTGTACCGGTTTTTGTATTTTGTGATCGCAAATCAGATAATACATAGCTAACATCCACGGTCTAACACAAAATTTCCTAACAGTCCTAACAACGCAAATTAGTTCTCACTCAAAACTGCTTAAAAACCAGCAATTTAAAAGAAAGAACAATTTTTTATTACATGTGTCAAACAAATTAATACACCTTCAAACTTTTAAAGTAGCGTTGGCTTATAGAGTTGTCAATAAATGCAAACTCACAAATTAAGCGGATGAATATGTTTTTAATCAATGAAAATGCTATTTTAGCGATGTCGATTAGATTCTACCGAATACTACACAAATAAATCTGACTGCCGAGTAGTTGAATATATAGTTTCTACATAGTGGACTGTTTGGGCGAGAAGATTTTTGCTAAATTATTTACTTCAATTTTAAACAACAGGTTTACCCTGAACAAAATACCTCGAAAATACCCTAACCCGAAATGCAATGGAAATTCTAAATTTAGAATGACTTGATTTTATTCAGTAGATGATTATACAACTTCTCTGTAGCGCAGTGGTAACGCGCTCGTTTAGAGTGTGAGAGGTCCGGAGTTCGAATTCCAGTCGAGTCAACATTTTTTTATTTCTTTTTTTTTTTGTGTGTCTTTGTTAAGGAAATAGACACGATATGCAAGGATAAAGTGTGGCTATCATAAAAAATGAACATAAATTATTTTTGATGCAACTCTAGTTATGCAAAATTCCGTATGTGCCCTGCAAGATGACTTATAGTACATAAAAATAAACTTATACAGGCAAACATACAGATATACAGTACGATTTAGATTCCAGGGATCAGAAAATACCACAGAGCTTGCAGCCCTTTGATTATATACTGGCATAATCAGATATACTTTTTTTCTCTCATTTTTTTCTTTTATTATTATCATGAATCATATTTATTGTTTATGTTGTGTCTCTGTTGTTGTCATGAAGCTATTGTTTTGTAAATAAAATGTGTGGCAAATGTTGTCGTTTGTAAAAATCGTAATACTGTTTCTGTTCTATTTTATTTTGTGTTGTCATAGACTTTAGATTAAAAATGACTTTTACAGACAATACAGGTTTGGTCGGGATAGTCATCAGAATATATAAAAGAAAACGTTATTTTATATGCAGTGAACTGAAAATACCAAAACCACAATTATGTATTCTTAACATTCTGATATCAAATCCTAGTCAGACGTATTGATGTATAAATCACGAAGAAACTTTTAGCTTTAACTAAATAAGTATTATATTTATGAAATTATTACAAGAGCAACCTCCGAGCGGGATAACGCTCGACTTTCTATGTTTTACGTTTTCTAAGAGGAAGCAAAGGATTTAAACAAATCTATTAAAATAAAATAAATGAAAACTAGAAATGTGTCATCATGCCACGGATGCCCCCGCATGCAGCCAAAATTTCAGATGGTGCATTAATTTAATAAAACTTTTCAATGTTAACACAAACCATTTTCATACAATGTTCAAGGCACTGAAATTATTCAGTCTTTACCTTTTAAAGTTTTCAAAGTAAAAGTGGCATAACTCTGCCAAAAATCATCTAACCATGACCAAATTCAAACTTGACCTGTATTTTTTCATGACATATCCATATGTCAAGTTTGAGTTGAATGTGTTGTACCTTTGGGGAGATAATGAACGGAAACTGAAAATTTCATATTGTTTTCAAAGTAAAAGGGGCATAACTCTGCCAAAAATCTTCGAACCATGACCAAATTCGAACTTGACCTGTATTTTTTCATGACATATCCATATGTCAAGTTTGAGTTGAATGTGTTGTACCGTTGGGGAGATAATGAGCGGAAACTGAAAATTCATATTATTTTCAAAGTAAAAGGGGCATAACTCTGCCAAAAATCATCGAACCATGACCAAATTCGAACTTGACCTGTATTTTTTCATGACATATCCATATGTCAAATTTGAGTTGAATGTGTGCAACCGTTCTTAAGATAATGAACGGAAACTGATGGTGACGGAATGACAGAATGACGGAAGGATGGAAGGACGGAATGACGGATCAGGGTAACACTATATGCAACGGCCATTACATGGCGGGAGCATAAAAAGTTTTTCTCTGCGTTGACCGGTCTCATTCTCGTGCTGATATTATCTAAATATGTGGTGTGGTTTCAAATGTCTAGAGTTACTGTTATACATAGTATATGAAAATAAATGTTAACAAAACGAAGGCCATGATTTGTTTAAAATGTCACAAGCTTTTTCGTTGATTTCAACAAATGCGATTGAAAAATAGAACCAGTTAATCTTCTTTAAGAATGGTAACACATGCAGAATCATATTTTCGACCATGTGCCGTTTCCGGTTTTTCAACAAACTAGATGTTAATTCTTAAAAAATTCATTTGTTTGAGGTGAATATGGAAATATTTGGTATGGATAGAGCCAGTGATACTGAAAAGATACAGTCAAACCTTCTGTAAAGACCATTTTCGAAAAAAATCATCCTGTACATAAAGACAACTCTTTCACATACCTTTGTTGATTAAATAGAATACTGTTACCTCAAGATAAAGACAACTTATCTATAAAAGCCATGTTCAGTCTTTACATTGTCTGAGCTTTGTTCACAGGTTTGACTGTACATCTAATAAATGTTCAAAGTACATTCTAGGTTTACGTAGTCCAGAAAGTCATCGGCATTGTGTGGGAAACTAGGTATAATTCTTTACAATATTTTTCGGTAAATCACATTTTTGAATATCGGATAAAATTTATCATTAAGTGTCCTAATATATAAAGCTGATACTAACATTATGTATAGAAACAAAAACTTGACTTTATAGTAAAACGTACTATTCATGGTTTTGTATACATTTATACATGTCTAGTCAAGTTTTTACTTTTGGAAATGATGGATGTGGTACTCAAAAATAAACAATTCTACGCTATACAATGCTTATGTTTATTTCAACAGACTTATAAGCGGATAAGTATATAGATTGGATACAAGACAGAAAATATATTTATTACCCTTCCAGATTTTTTCCCCCTTTTTGATTGGATATTTGTCATCCGCAAAAAATTGATATTACCGAGCCAGACGGGTAATATACACACTAAATTTCCCCGTTGGGGAATGGCGATTCACACCAGTGAGAAACATTTTAGATGTGATACATGTGATAAATCATTTCCTTACCTTAGTGAACTGAAAAAACATATCCGCATTCACACTGGTGAGAAGGATTATAAATGTGATAACTGTGACAAAGCATTTCTAAGTCCGTCTCATCTTCAAAGGCACATGGCAATTCACACTGGTGTAAAGAACTTTGCATGCGAAATATGTTATAAATCATTTAATTTCAAAGGTAACCTTCAAAGGCATATGGCAATTCACAGTGGAGAGAAAAATCATAAATGTGAAATTTGTGAGAAAGCATTTACCCAAAGAAGCAACCTTACAGCACATTTGATAATCCACACTGGTGAGAAGAAATACAAATGTGAAATCTGGTCTAAAGTTTTTACCCAACGAGGTCAACTAAAGGCACATGTTCCAATTCATGACGGTCAGAAGATTCATAGATGTGAAATTTGTTTTAGGACATTTCTCTATGCAAGCAAGCTGAAAAAAAACATATGAGCACAGCAAATCACACTGGTGAGAAAAAGTTTACATGTGGAATTTGTAAGAAAATCATTTCTTCTGAAACACCACCTTAGTACCCATTTACGAATACACGCAGACGAGAAGAATTTCACATGTGGAGTTTGTGATAAGTCATTCCGATTTAAAAGTAATCTTAAAAGTCATTTGAAAATTCACACTGGCAAAAAGAACAATGTATGTGGGGTTTGTCAAAAAAACTTTTATGAAATTTGTGATCTCAGAAAACATATGGAGATTCACATTGGAACTTAGCAATATAAATGTGATCTATGTGGTAAATCATTTGCTCAGAATTCTGGACTTAGCATGCACATGAACATTCACATGGGTATCAAGAGACATAAATGTGAAATATGTGAAAAAATGTTTTTGGACAGCAGTAAACTTAAAAGACATATGACAATTCACACTGGCGATAAAATGTCTAAGTGTGAAATATGTGACAAATCATATTCTCGAAGTGATTCCCTTAATTAAAAGGCATATGCTGAGTCACACTGGTCATTAAATTTATACTTCTAAGATATATTAATATAGTAGATAGACTCAGTGATGTAACCTGTTGTAATTCCAGTGATAAATAATTAATCAACGACGCTGATTGGAGACGCATTCAATGACAATATACATTGGTTACAAGAATTGCTCATACAATTACATTTATTTCTCTCGTTTTTTATTATTATCAAGGATCCTTTGTATATATGTATTGTTTTATGTTGTGTCTCTTTTGTTGTAATGAAGCTATTGTTAGTGGAAACATAAATTGTTGCAGATGTTGTTAAGATGTTTGTATAATTCTTAAATTTATTTATCAGTGGTCTTTACTATAATATGTTTTTTCGGTCACTGTGGACAGCGCAGCTGTATTTCAGCTGTCGATGCGTAAGACTGGTCAATACATAAGGGTATTTGACCATTCGAGGTACTATAGGTTTACTGCACACAGACGCCCACCCACCCCTCCCTCGTTTTGGGATTACATTAAGATTGTATATGTTATGCTGAACTTTGTAATGTCAGAATAATGTTAAAACATGTATACTTTAAGGTTAATCAACGGTATTGATTAATGTCTATCTAATATGGAAATTATCTTTGTTTTGTCTTTTTCAGAGTAAACAATTTTTTGTTGTCTTTTGATAACGTTGCAAGGATGGATGCAAGGAAGTTTGAGTGAGTTTTTTGGTTCTGACTTTGAGGTTATATATTTGTGTGTGTCAAGACATAATTCCATACAGTGCCCTGGAATTACACGGAACCTGAATTTTCGGAATGTTCGGATCGACGACATGGGACTTTTATATGAGCATATGTTATTATTGTTAAGTGCAGAGACACTTCTCACTAGTTTCCAAGTGTCGTCGATGTGTATGAATGTATATTTATATAATGTTAAATTAAAGTGAACCTGTAGTAGCCACTCCTACATAGTCTTTCTTATTTATATTTTATCCATTTAGGATATTAATTATGGAGTTTAATGATAAATTATTTATGTTTGGCTGAATGGAATGAAAAAAAAAAACAACACAATACTGTTTCTGTTCTATTTTATTTTGTGTTTTTTTTTTACTGTCATAGACTTTACATTTAGAATGGCAGTTACAGACAATTCAAGATCGTGGGGATTATTATTAGAATATATAAGGGAAAACCCTATTTTATATGCAGTGAACTGAAAATTCCAAAACCACATTACGTATTTCTTAACGTCCTGACACCAAATTATAGTCGGGCGTATTGATGTTTAAATCACTATGAATTAACGTTTTAAGTTGAACTAAATTAGTATATATAATTATATGAAACTATAGAATGGTAACCATGGTAACGGATGCAGAAAAAAATTTGTCGATCATGCCTCGTTACCGAATTTTCAACAAAATGGATGAACAAATTCTTAAAAGATTCATTTGTATGAGGTGTTATCTGAATAAAGCCGGTGATACTGAAATGATACAGTCAAATCTGCAGTAAAGACCACTTCTACCCCCCCCCTGAATCAAGATCATCATGTTACATAAAGCAATCTTTATCCGTCCATGTGCTCCGTCAAACCGAATCTCGACATTTTCAATTTTGCCGTTTTGTGCGTTCTTTTTGAATTCTGTTTCTTTTTCTCTGTTTTGAAGTACACGATTGGTATATTGCATCATGACACTTATATATGTTAAGCAATGTTTTCTTTGCAAATACATACAGCAATTTTACGACTTTCAAAATCACTCCTGGTGCACAAATCATTAGATCATATGCTATTCAATATACATTGTATCGTCAATAGCTCATACGTCACAAAGTGACATTGTGAGCTTTTGTGAACACTTGTCGTCCGGCGTCCGTCCGTGGTCCGTCCTTCGTCCGTAAATTTTAAATGACATCTCCTCATAAACCGCTGAGCCAATTTCATTCAAAATTCATAGGAATGGTCCTTTGCTGGTCACCTTTAAAAATTGTTCAAAGAATTTAATTCCATGCAGAACTCTGGTTGCAATGGCAACCGAAAAAAAAAATATCTTCTTTTAAAAAATCCAAAGAGGTAGAGCTTAGATATTTGGCATGAAACATCTTCTATTGAGTGTCTATCAAGTTTGTTCAAATAAAAGCTCTGGGTCATTGCTTTGCCTTAAATGTATATAGTATAAAAACTTTAAAAAATCTTCTTTAAAAAAACCAAAAAGAGCTAGAGCTAGAATATTTGGCATCAAACATTTTCTGATGAGTGTCTATTAAGTTTGTTCAAATAAAATCCCTAGGGTCAAAATTGCCCCGCCCCTTGGGTCATTGCTTTTCCTTATATGTATATAATAAAACCTTAAAAAAATCTTCTTTTAAAAAACCAAAAGAGCTAGAGCTACAATATTTGGCATGAAACATTGTCTGATGAGTGTCTACCAAGTTTGTTCAAATAAAATCTCTGAGGTCAAAATTGGCCCCGCCCAAGGGTCATTGATTTTCCTAAACTGTATATAGTAAAAACTTAAAAATCTTCTTTTAAAAGTTCGAAAGAGCTAGAGCTTAAATATTTGGCATGAAACATCTTCTAGTTAGTGTCTATCAAGTTTGTTCAAATAAAATCCCTGGGGTCAAAATTAGCCCCACCCTGGGGGTCGTTGATTTTCTTTATTTGTATATAGTAAAAACTTAAAAATCTTCTTTTAAAAAACCCAAAGAGGCAGAGCTTAGATATTTGGCATGAAATCATTTCTGGTGAGTGTCTACCAAGTTTGTGCAATAAAGCATTAGATCAAAATTGGCCCCGCCCCAGGGGTCATTGCTTTTCCTTACATGAATATAGTAAAAACTTTAAAAATCTTCTTTTAAAACCCAAAAGAGCTAGAGCTTACATATTTATCATGAAACATCTTCTAATGGTTGTCTTTTAAGTTGGTTAAAAAATGCCCCTGTGTTTAATTAGCCCGGCTCCAAGGGCCTATAAACAGGTGACCGATTTTAGGGCCATTTTGGCCCTCTTGTTAGCTTATCACCTGTCACAAAGTGACATGGTGAGTTTTTGTGATCGCTTTTCATCCGGCGTCAGTCCGTCTGTCCTTACAAACCCAGAGGTACTTGTGTGACTTGGAGAAAATGGGTAACAGGAAATTCTCTTTGATCTTATTCATTCCGGTTTTACTTGTATGTCTTTTTTAAGCCTTGTGCATGTTGTGTGTTTAAAAATGGCTAAAAAGAACAAAGGAAAAGCCACATAAGTACCATTTCGTAAGCACACAATGTACGTCCGTCCGTAAACTTTTACTTTAAACGACATATCCTCATAAAACGCTTAGCCAATTTCATCCAAACTTCACAGGAATCTTCCTATGGTAGCCAACTTTAATTGTTTAAGGAATTTAATTCCAAGCAGAATTCTGGTTGCCATGGCAACCGAAAGAAAAATCTTAAATATTTTCTTTTAGAAAACCAAAAGAGCTAGAGCTTAAATTTTTGGCATGAAACATCATCTAGTTAGTTTTTACCAAGTGTGTTCAAATAAATGCCCACGGTTCAAAATTGTCCCGCCCTGGGGGTCATAGGTTTTCCTTATTTGTATATAGTAAAAACTTAAAAAATCTTCTTTTAAAAACCTTAATAGCTAGAGCTTAGATATTAAGCATGAAAAATATTCTAGTGAGTGTCTACCTAGTTTGTTCAAATAAAAGCCCTTTGGTTAAAATTGGCCCCGCCCCAGGGAGTCACTGTTTTTCCTTATTTGTATATAGTAAAAATGTAAAAAATCTTCTTTGAAAAAAAACCCAAATAGCTAGAGCTTAGATATGAAGCATGAAACATCTTTTAATGGGTGTCTACCAAGTTTGTTTAAATAAAAGCCCCTGGGTAAAAAATTGTTCGCCCCAGGGAGTCATTGTTTTTCCCTTTATGTATATCTTAAAAATTAAAAAAATCTTCTTTTATAAACCCAAAGAGCTAGAGCTAAGATATTTCGCATGAAACATCATTTAATGGGTTTCTACCAAGTTTGTTTAAATAAAATTCCTGGGGTAATAATTCGGGGAGGGTTATTGTTTTTCCTTGTATGCATTTAGTAAAAAAATCTACTTATAAAACCCAAAAGAGCTAGAGCTTAGATATTTATCATGAAACATCTTCTAATGGCTGTCTACCAAGATTGTTCAAATAAAAGCCCCTGGTTTAAAATTGACCTTGGCCCAGGGGTCTATATATAGGTGAACGATTTCAGGGCCATCATGGCTCTCTTGTTTATGGTTAACATAATTATAGAAAGGGAACGGGAGGCATGTTGCCTGATAACCGGTACCATATAATTTACAGCTGAAGAAAAAAGTAAGCCTACGCCTTAAAAATAACAATATAAACATATTAAGCTAGGATTTTGGATGTAAACCAGAATTTTTAATTATGGCGAAAATCAGATAATGCGAGAAAACGAAATAGCTTGCATCTGAAGCAAAAAACTTTCAAGATCTTACAAAGTGTTTGATCAAACAACTCGTATACTGAAAGTGATCCATTGTTCTGATTGGCAAGCTTATATTTCCCCCAGTAGAATAGTGCATATCCCATAGAAATAAGTAATCATCAATAAAATATTTACGGCTTTTTTCTTTTTCAAACGTAGCAATATTTGTCTTGAGAAATGATGCCGAGAAGGACTTCATAGACACGTTGTATTGCTATACTGAATTTATTTACTATGATGTTTACTTGCATTTAATTTCTAAAGAACTTTTTTACAGAGTTACTCTCCTTTGATTTCATTACTCCATTATAATAAGTGGAGACTCGGGTAAATTCTAATTATATTTTCTATTCAAATATTTATTCCATGCCAATTTGATATGAATAACCTTATTAAGTAAGTGTCTTTAATGTATCCTTAGAAGTTTTTGCAAGTTTTGTAAATTGACATCGTGAGGACTTATAAAGCAAATTAGCTCTATCGGGTTAACTTATGACATATGACCCAGGGTAAATATAATTTTATCTAACCTGTTATTTAAAGAAACATGTATGCTCTTTTTTCATTGTCAAATTGAGCTGAATTGACTTTATATTACAAAAGATTGGCTGTTAAAATGATGATTGGCCAACAGTTGATATTCAAACATGTTTATCAGCCTAAAACATAACAGCCTAGGATAATGTCCATGCTATTGATAATTGCGTTTATGTTATTCTATGGAAGCCTTTCCTAAGAAAATTAAAAATGGAGTTTCGAATTTGTATTTGTTGTGAGAATTATGTACAGTGCATATTACATGTGCCATATTTTTTCAACTATTTATATAATTAATATTTATTTTTAAGAAAAGAGGAAACTACGGTGTTCCGTTTGGACACGTTTGGACAATCGTGACATTTAATTTATTCTGTACCCGCGATGCACGATGATACGATGGTGAAAACGCGATGGCACGATGGTACGATGGTGAAAACACGATGGTACGATGGTGAAATCACGATGGTACGATGGCGAAACCGCGATGGCGCGATAGTACGATGGTGAAAACGCGATGTTACATCGCGTTTTCACCATCGTACCATCGTGATTTCACCATCGTACCATCGCGTTTTCACCATCGTACCATCGCACCATCGTGCCATCGCGTTTTCACCATCGTGCCATCGCGTTTTCACCATCGTACCATCGCACTTTCACCATCGTACCATCGCGATTTCACCATCGTACCATCGTGATTTCACCATCGTACCATCGTGTTTTCACCATCGTACCATCGTGCCATCGCGTTTTCACCATCGTACCATCGTGCATCGCGGGTACAGAATACAGAAAACGCGATGGTACGATGGTAAAAACACGATGGTACGATGGTAAAAACGCGATGGTACGATGGTGAAATCGCGATGGTACGATGGTGAAATCGCGATGGTACGATGGTGAAATCGCGATGACACGATGGTGAAAGCGCGATGGCACGATGGTGAAAACACGATAGCGCGATGGTACGATGGTGAAAACACGATGATACGATGGTGAAATCACGATGGAACGATGGTGAAAACGCGATGTAACAACATCGCGTTTTCACCATCGTACTATCGCGCCATCGCGATTTCACCATCGTACCATCGTGATTTCACCATCGTACCATCGTGTTTTCACCATCGTACCATCGTGCCATCGCGTTTTCACCATCGTACCATCGTGCATCGCGGGTACAGAATAAATTAAATGTCACGATTGTCCAAACGTGTCCAAACGGAACACCGTAGGAAACACTATTAATTGCTTTAATTATTATTTGTTATACATTGACTGTATAAATGTATATATGGATTAAATTTAAGAACAAACAAAAATTAAATTCGTTTGAATATAAGAGGAAAAAACATAAAATCGATTCTATGATTGATTAGGTAGATTTTCCCATTTTTTTTTATTTGAAATTAAGTATATGATTTTCTTTCTTAACACAGGAAATTGATCGTAAAGCAGAAAATTGTAGGGAGTTCGATAAAGAGGTTTAGGAAATTGTATTGAATCAGAAATGATGAGCATTACCGGAGAGGAGAACTGTAGATGTAAAATATGTGATAAGCTTTTCTCTAATGACAGTCAACTTAAAACACACATGGCGATTCACACAAGTGAGAAACATTTTAGATGTGATACATGTGATAAATCATTTCATTTCCTTAGTCGCCTGAAAGACCATATCAGCATTCACACTGGTGAGAAGAATTTTGAACGTGATAATTGTGGCAAAGCATATTCAAGTATCTCTTGTCTTCAGAATCACAAGACAGTTCACACTGGTGAAAAGAGCTTTGCTTGTGATACATGTGATCAATCGTTTTCGTACCTTAGTACCCTGAAAAAACATATCCGCATTCACACTGGTGAGAAGAATTATGAATGTGATAATTGTGGCAAAACATTCTCAAGAAGCTCTCATCTTCAAAGGCACATGGTAATTCACACTGGTGCAAAGAACTTTGCATGCCAAATATGTGAAAAATCATTTAATTGTAAAGGTAATCTTAAAAGGCACCTGTCAGTTCACACTGGTGAAAAGAGCTTTGCTTGTGAAATATGTGATAAATCATTTTCATACCTTAGTCGCCTGAAAGAACATATCCGCATTCACACTGGTGAGAAAAATTATAAATGTAATAATTGTGACAAAACATTTCTAAGTTCGTCTCATCTTCAAAGGCACATGGCAATTCACACTGGTGAAAAGATCTTTGCATGCGAAATATGTTATAAATCATTTAATTTCAAAGGTAACCTTCAAAGGCATATGGCAATTCACAGTGGAGAGAAAAATCATAAATGTGAAGTTTGTGAGAAAGCATTTTCTCAAAGAAGCAACCTTACAGCACATATCATAATCCACACTGGTGAGAAGAAATAAAAATGTAAAATCTGTTCTTAAGTGTTTACCCAACGAGGTCAACTCAAGGCACATGTTCCAGTTTATGACGGTCAGAAGATTCATAGATGTGAAATTTGTTTAAGAACATTTCTCTATGCAAGCAAGCTGAAAAAACATATGAGCACAGCAAATCACACTGGTGAGAAAAAGTTTACATGTGGAATTTGTGAAAAATCATTTCTTCTGAAACACCACCTTAGTACCCATTTACGAATACACACAGACGAGAAGAATTTCACATGTGGAGTTTGTGATAAGTCATTCCGATTTAAAAGTAATCTTAAAAGTCATTTGAAAATTCACACTGGCAGAAAGAACAATGTATGTGGGGTTTGTCAAAAAGCCTTTTATGGAATTTGTGATCTCAGAAAACATATGGAGATTCACATTGGAACTAAGCAATATAAATGTGATCTATGTGGTAAATCATTTGCTCAGAATTCTGGACTTAGCATGCACATGACCATTCACATGGGTATCAAGAGATATAAATGAAAAATATGTGAAAAAATGTTTTTGCAAAGCAGTGCTTTTAAAAGACATATGGCCATTCACACTGGCGATAATAGGTATAAGTGTGAAATATGTGACAAATCAGTAACAGTAATATAGAAGATAAACTCAGTGATGTAACGACACTGATTGGAGACGCATTCAATGACAATATACATTGGTTACAAGAATTTCTCATACAAATACATTTTTTCTCTCTTATTTTTGTTTCTTTTATTATTGACACGAATCTTTTGTATACAATATATTTGTATTGTTTATGTTGTGTCTCATTTGTTGTAAAGAAGCTATAGTTTGTGTAAACAAAATGTGTTGCAGATGTTAAAAAGATGTTTGTAAAATTCGTATATCAGTTTCATTTCTATCTTATTTTGTGTTTTTTACTGTCATTGACACATTTACAATGACATTTACAGACTACATGATCATGGGGGAAATCATTAGAATATATAAAAGAAAACGGTATGTTATATATGCATTGTTCAACTGAAAATACCAAAACCACATATGTATTCTAAACGTTCTGATAACAAATTCTAGTCAGACGTTATGATTTTTAAATCACTTAAAAAAATTTAATTTAACTAAATAAGTACTATGTCATGTGGTCGATATTCGTGTTTTTGAATATCGTTTTCATGTATCATTTTGTCCTTGTATTTGTATATATATCTCTTGTATTTGTCTGTTTACAGTCCGATATACACTCCATCATCCCATATCATTCCTATATCATTCCATTTCATCATCTCATTATAACAACTAATTTCTCATATTTCATTTGACATAATTTGCATGCCGGGCCTCAGTTTTTACAAACTTCCCGGAAAATCCACCTCACGCATGCGCACTTTGGTATAAATATTTCTCTTGGTTTGCGCCAGAAATTGTTGTCTTATTTATTTATTTATTTATCAAGGCGTATGTTTATGTCCTTACAGGTAATTGTTGTTATTCATTATGTTTCATTATCATGCATATTTCCATTGATCGTTTATGTATTTCGGATCTGTATTTATGCACTTTGGTATAAATATTTCTCTTGGTTTGCGCCAGAAATTGTTGTCTTATTTATTTATTTATTTATCAAGGCGTATGTTTATGTCCTTACAGGCATAAACAGACCATTCATACATCTTGTAAAAGGACCATACGACAACTAGTATAATAAAATTATATAAGAAACTGTAAAGAGTGACCGCGAGCGGGGACAAGGCTGAATTTTTTATTGTTTACTTTTTCTAAAAGCAAAGAAACGATTAAAACAAATGTTTAAAAAGAAAATTAAATAAAAAATTCTCTGCAGTGTCCTGTTACAGTGTATCATTGTCGTGCTGACAATATGGATAAGGTGTGGTTTCAAATGTTGAGAACTACTGTTTTACATGGGGTATGAAAATAAATGTTAAATAAACGAAGGCCATTATTTGTTTTAAATGGCATAATCACTTTTGGGGAATTCTACAGATACGATTTAAAATAGAACTTGTTTATCTTCATTAAAAATGGTAACGCATGCAGAATCAGATTGTCGAACGTGCCTCGTTGCCGGTTTGTTTTAAAAAAAAACTGGATAATTATAAGCAATCATGGTGCGCAGAAAACAATGATTATCCGCGATTATAAAGTTTAAGTTTATTTAAACACACTTTTAAACGGCAGAAATATATTGATTACATACAATATAGAAGTAAATATATGTGACAACATTTTCGAATTTCCGGATATCTGCTCTCTTGGATATGGAAATATATTAGAACATGTTAAAATCAACGACTGTGTTAAAAAGATACATTAATCATGCTAAAACATTGCTTCCGGTTTTTTACCTAGTAATGTGTGTGTCTGGTATTATATGTACTAGTATATATGCACGTTCAATTGTTCTCCTGACTTTTTGTATATTTTAAATCTTTCTCCCACTGAGAGCACAGATATTCTCATTTGTATTTTAGTTATTCTATAAAACAATAAACTCGTTTTAATGCAAAGTATATGAAGGCTAGGTTCTAAAGGTCGTGAATGGTAGCTTGTATTTTCCCGTACCGTCCATGTATAGACTTAGTCAAACCGAATCTGCTACATTTTCAGTTTCGCCGTTTTATGCGTTCTTTTGGAATTCTGTTTCTTTTTCTCTGTTTTGAAGTCCACGATTGGTATATTGCGTCATGACACTAATATATGTTTGACAATATTTTCTTTACAAATATATATAGCAATTTTACGACTTTCAAAATCACTCCTGGTGCACAAACCATTAGTTCATACGCTATTCAATATACATTGTATTGTTAATAAACATGTTTTTTTTTATAGTTAACATAATTATAGAAAGGGAACGGAAGGCATGTTGCTTTTCGTATTTGCAACCAATTCTGAAAACTGGTACCATATAACTTGGAGCTGAAGAAAAAAGTATAAGCTTACGCCTTAAAAAAAACAATAAAAACATATTAAGGTAGGGTTTTGGATGTTAACCTGAACTTTTGATTATGGCGAAGATCAGATAATGCAAGAAAACGAAATAGCTTGCATCTGAAGGCCAGTCTTATACAAACAACTTTCAAGGTTTTACAAAGTGCTCGATCAAACGACTCGTATACTGAAAGTGATCCAATTTTCTATGGTAAGTTTATATTTTCCCCTGTAGAATAGCGCATATCCCATAGAAATTAGTACAGAAATAAAATGTTTACGTTTTTTAGCTCGACTATTCGAATAATATGAGAGCTATTGTAGTCGCCCCGGCGTCGGCGTCAGCGTCTGCGTTGGTTAAAGTTTTTATGTAAATTCAAATATCTCAATTATTGCATGAGATATTCAGTTTAAACTTACAATACTTATTTATAGTAACAATGTACATCAGATTGACAAGTTGGAAAACTCTGCCTACAATATTTACAGAATTATGCCCCTTTTAACTTAAAAATTTTGGTTAAAGTTTCATGTAAAGTCAATCTCTCAATTATTGCTTGAGATATTCAATTGAAATTTACAATACTTTTTTAAAGTAACAATGTACATCAGTTTGCAAAATTGCATAACTGCCTGCAATATTTGCAGAATTATTTGCCCATTTGAAACATGTACATAGAGTCATAATTGGAGAGTCATAATTGTATGTCACTGACCAAGTTCATAACTCTACTCGCATTAAGTCTGATTCTTCTCCCCTTTTCTACTTAGTCTCTTGGTTAATGTTTGGATGCAAGTTTTACATATCTCAATAACTATTAAAGATATTTATTTAAAACCTCACATATGAATTAAGAATCATAATTGTAGGTCACTGACCAAGATCCATAATTTTATCTTGCATTTAGGCTGATTTTTCTCCCTTTGTCAACTTATAATTTCATGGTAAAGTTTTGCTTGTAAGCTGTTATCTCCATAACTACTGAAGATTTTGTGCCTTTTTTTGGGACATTTTTATGCATTCATAATAATAAAGCAGTGATTTACTTGATAAAATATCTTAATAACAAGCCTTTGTACATTTCGGTCAATTTTATGTATACATGCATTATTATACTCAATTAAACACCCCTGTGACAATTTTTGAATAATCGAGCCAATACTGTCCCCCGACAGTTATTGTTTCTTTTCGAATCAAGCAATATTTGTCTTGAGAAATGATGCCGAGAATGACTTCATGGACACGTTGTATTGCTATACTGAATTTATTTATTGTTGAATTACTTGCTTTTAAATTCTAAATATCTGTTTTACAGAGTAACTCCCCTTGGATTTCATTACTCCATTATAATAAGTGGAGAATCAGGCAGATTCTAATTATATTTTCTATTTAGATATTTATTCCATACCAATTTGATATGAATAACCTTATTGAGTAAGTGTCTTTTATGTATGTGCAGAAGTTTTTGCTAGTTTTTTTTTTATTGAAATCGTAAGGTGAAAGCAAACTGGCTCTACCAGTATCGGGTTATGATATGACCCAGGTCAAGGGTAAATATAATTTTTATTTTTCTAACCTGTTTATTCTAAATAATAACAATATAAACATATAAGGATGTAAACCGGAATTTTGATTATGGCGAAGATCAGATAATACAAGAAAACGAAATAGTTTGCATTCGTAAGTCCATCTTATACAATGAACTTTCAAGGTTTTACAATGCAAAGTGTTTGATAAAACGACTCGTCAACTGAAGAAGATCCGCTATTCAGTGGCAAGCTTATATATTCCCCAGTAGAATAACATGGACACGTTGTATTGCTATACTGAATTAATTAATTGTCTAATACAGTATGATGTTTACTTGCGTTTAATTTCTAAAGAACGTGTTTACAGAGTAACTCCCCTTTGATTTCAATTCTCCATTATAATAAGTGAAGACTCGGGTAGATTCTAATTATATTTTGTATTTAAATAGTTATTCCATGCCAATTTGATATGAATAACCTTATTCACCGAGTCCAATCGTTCACTATGTTTCCCAGGCGGAGAACGCATGAAGAGATCAATTTTACAGGTGGAAAAACCGATACTGTGGTAAGAAAATTGTCTTCAATTTCTTTGAAAATGCATATTTCAAAAAAATTTATAGCCTATTCTGATCTCGTATGATTACTTTATCCGACAGGCATCTCAAACTTGCCAAATCTTTGTTAACTTATTAGATCATTATCGACAACTGCACAAGAAAAGTCACAAAATTGGTAAAATCGCTCTTTGATAGCCAATAACTTGACATCCAAGCAAACTTCTAAACATTTGTATCGCTCTAAAGGCACTTTATTAACATATCCTCATCCACCAAAAAGCCTGTTCTATTTTCTATTCCGTATTTTTGGAGTATAATATCGTTTAAGCGAATTTTCAAAATGAAGGCATGAGCCGAACTTTTCACGTGGTTTCATAGGTTTGAAAAGTGAACGCATGAGCAGGTGGTATTTTTAAAACTCCAGTTTTTCTTAATTATCTAACAAATTTAACTTTAAAATTTTCAAATTTTTATTCCAATAAATGAGAGACACTTCTTTTTACAAATTAAAATATACTTTGTAACGCTGTATATATATATGCTAATTAGCAAAAGTACGAGGTCTGTTGGGAAAGATCGTGTAAAATTAAAGTAATTCCTCGTTTGTAATATTTACAAAAGCAGTTGTTAAGATGACAAAGAAAAGCATAATAGTTCCTCGAAAACTTGTAAACTTGTTAATAGTGTTTAATACATAAAACGGAGAGATAACTAAGTCTTGTCATGTTGAATAAAATCAACAACTGACGACATTAAGCTGATTTATATAATAATCTTACATGACACTTTGGAAAAATCCTTTGCATGCATTGTAAATGATTGTTTTACAAAATATGTACTTTGATAATTAAATCATGAATCCTGAATAATTGTATACAATTACTATCATACATGCATAATATTAAACAACAAATACAACAAAGGACAAATAACAAATAATAGCGTATGTATACTCTTTTAAAGTCCCTGTACCTCAAAACTTTAATAGTCTAATACATGTTTGATATGATAAACCTGATACTCAAATAAAGAATTACCAATATTACAAATCTTACATAGATATTATCGAATTTAACAAGTTCTGTAAATAAAGGGAGGTAATTAAAAACACATTTTGATAAATACTTTGCCTATTCTTCATTAAAATAAAAAGTGTATTATTTTTAAAAGAAAAACTTATAATGAACCTAAAAAAATATGTGTTATTTCAGTATTTTCTTGTATGTTCATTTTGTTGTAAGGAAGGTGATATATATATTCTTGCTTAAAGGTCCTGTATTTTATAATTAAGGATGTAACATCCTTGCGAAAGTTGTATATAAAGTCAGTTCTTATGAAAAACATATACTTAAGAAGTTGACATTATTAAACACATTATATGATATTTCTTGAGGAAAAAAGGTTGTGAAATTTTTATTGGAATGCAAAACTGATTTTTTTTTTTTGCCAAAAACATATTTCTAATTATCTCCTTTTTTATCGGAAATTTTAAATTTTGGCAATATCCTTATCAAAAAGGTTTTCTGTAACTTTTAACATTGTTAATTCTTTATTTAAGCCAAAGATGTTTCATATAAGAACATAAAATTTTGAGTCACAGGATCTTTAAGTGTATGTTACATCTTTAATTTATCACACACCCGTGCCGATTTTGCGACTCCGTAAATATGGTCAATCTCCTACGCAGTGATCTCCCCTTGTAAACAGGATTAGATAAAGTAGCAAAGCGTGACGTAACCGCTGTGAGGAGTGTGAAATAATTATGGTATTGCACGGCCGTGCATATATTTTGACGTGACGTCATTAGCGTTATACAAACATAGTGTAAAGACGCCTAAATGTTAGCGTTATACTATAGGTGCGTCAATGAAAAATGACTCTTTTTTCACTTTAAACGGTCTTTATTTTTTGTATGTGATAAATAGAATATTAAATTCGTGTAACTTCATTACTGAATTTATTGCACTCGTTGAATAAAATAATAAAATGCTCGCCAGAGCCTCGCATAATATAATTTTATTCAACTCGTGCAATAAATTTAGTATTGAACTCACACTCATTCAATATCCTCTATATAATATACAGGAAATTTAAGTCCCATCAACCAATTGTGTTGTATTTTGCAAATATTTTACTCAAAGTTTTAGAAATGAGGATTTATTATATTTCCACAGAACCGAACAGACCTTCATCTATTGCTTATAAGCAATTCGTCATAAGGTATGAAAATAGGGACTTCTGTTTGCTCAAACATTTGGAACGAAAATTTTGGAATTTAAAGGTTCAGTGATCGATAACATGTGAGATATCCATGAAAACTGGAGTAACCAAAAAGTCCGCCTGCTCATGCGTTCATTTTGCAATCTGATGAAACCACATGAAAAGTTCGGCTCATGCGTTCATTTTGAAAATTCGCTTAAACGATATTATACTCCAAAAATACGGAATAGAAAAAGAACAGACTTTTGGTGGATGAGGATATGTTAATAAAGAACCTTTAGAGCGATACAAATGTTTAGAAGTTTGCTTGGATGACAAGTTATTGGCTATCAAAGAGCGATTTTACCAATTTTGTGACTTTTCTTGTGCAGTTGTCGATAATGATCTAATAAGTTATCAAAGATTTGGCTAGTTTGATATGCCTGTCGGATAAAGTAATCATACGAGATCAGAATAGGCTATAAAGTTTTGTGAAATATGCATTTTCAAAGAAATTGAAGACAATTTTCTTACCACAGTATCGGTTTTCCACCTGTAAAATTGATCTCTTCATGCGTTCTCCGCCTGGGAAACATAGTGAACGATTGGACTCGGTGTTATTGAGTTAGTGTCTTTAATGTATGATACAGGTCCAGGGTAAATATTATTTTTATTTATCTAACCTGTTTATTCTAAACTGTTAATTAAAGAGACATGCATGCTCTTTTCTTTTGTCAAATTGAGCTGAATTGCCTTTATATTACAAAAGATTGGCTGTCAAAATGATGATTGCCAATAGTTGATATTGAAAAATGTTTATCGGCCTAGGATAATGTCCATGCTATTGATAATTGCATTTATGATGTTCTATGGTAGCTAGCCTTTCCTATGAAAATTAAAAATGGAGTTTCGAATTTGCATTTGTTGTGAGAATTATGTACAGTACATAATTATTATACATGTGCTATATTTTTCAACTATTTAAGAAAATAGGAAACACTATTAATTGCTTTGATTATTATATTTGTTATACTTTGACTGTATAAATGTATATATGGATTAAATTTAAGAACAAACAAAAATTAAATTCGTTTGAATATGAGCGGAAAACAATTAATAAACCTGATTCTAAAATTGATTAGGTAGATCTACCCATTTTTTATTTGAAATTAAGTATATGATTTTCTTTCTTAACACAGGAAATTGATTGTAAAGCAGAAAATTGAAGGGAGTTCAATAAAGAGGTTCAGGAAATTGTATTGAAACAGAAATGATGAGCATTACCAGAGAGATGAACTATAAATGTGAAATTTGTGATAAGCTTTTCTCTAATGACAGTCAACTTAAAACACACATGACGATTCACACCAGTGAGAAACATTTTAGATGTGATACATGTGACAAATCATTTTCTTACCTTAGTGAACTGAAAGAACATATCCCCATGCACACTGGTGAGAAGAATTATGAAGGCATACCATTTTCAAGTAGCTCTCATCTTCAAAGGCACATTGCAATTCACACTGGTGAGAAGAATTATAAATGTGATTATTGTAGCAAAACATTCCCAAGCAGTTTTAATCTTCAAAGGCACATGACAGTTCACACTGGTGAAAAGAATTATAAATGTAATAATTGTGGCAAAGCATACTCAAGAAGCCATCATCTTCAAAGACACGTTGCAGTTCACACTGGTGAAAAAAACTTTACATGCCAAATATGTGATAAATCATTTTCTTACCTTAGTAACCTGAAAAGACATATCCACATTCACACTGGTGAGAAGAATTATGAATGTGATTATTGTGATAAAACATATTCAAGTATCTCTAATCTTAAAAATCACATGACAGTTCACACCGGTGAAAAGAACTTTGCTTGTGATACATGTGATAAATCATTTTCTAACTTTAGTACCCTGAAAAGACATGTCCGCATTCACACTGGTGAGAGTGAGAAGAGTTATAAATGTAACAATTGTGATAAAGCATATTCAAACATCTCTAATCTTCAAAGCCACATGACAATTCACACTGGTGTAAAGAACTTTGCATGCGAAATATGTGATAAATCATTTAATTGTAATGGTAATCTTAAAAGGCACTTGTCAATTCACACCGGTGAAAAGAACTTTGCTTGTGAAATATGTGATGTTTCATTCAATTTTAAAGATAAACTTAAAAGGCATATGGAAATTCACAGTGGCGAAAAAAAACATATATGTGAAATTTGTAATAAAACATTTACTGAAAGAAGCAACCTTACATCTCATTTAATAATCCACAAAGGTGAGAAGAAATACAAATGTGAAATCTGTCTAAAAGCATTCATCAGACGAAATCAGTTCAAGGCGCATGTTTTAATTCATGCTGGTCAGAAGTTTCATAGATGTGATATTTGTTTTAGAACATTTCGCTATGCAAGCGGGCTGAAAAGACATATAAGCACTGCAAATCACACTGGTGAAAAAAGGTTTACATGTGGAATTTGTAAAAAATCATTTCTTCAAAAAACCCTCCTTAAAAGTCATTTGCGGATACATACAGGCGAGAAGTTCACATGTGGAGTATGTGATAAATCATTCAGATTTAAAAGTAGTCTTAAAAGCCATTTAAAAATTCACACTGGTGAGAAAAACAAAGTATGTGGGGTTTGTCAAAAAACCTTTCATGCAAGTAGTTATTTCAGAGAACATATGGAGATTCACACTGGAACCGCGAACTATAAATGTGATCTATGTGGTAAATTATTTACTAGCAAACCTGGTCTTAACCACCACATGAACATTCACATGGGTATAAAGAGACATCAATGTGAAATATGTGATAAAATGTTTTTGCGAAGCTGTAATCTTAAAAGACATATGACCATTCACACTGGCGGTGGTGAAAGGTATAAGTGTAAAATGTGTGACAAATCATATTCTCAAGGTGGTTCCCTTAAAAGGCATATGTTAAGTCACACTGGTCATTAATTTGTAATTCTAAGATGTATGAATATAGTAGATAAACTGAGTGATGTAACCTGTTAAAATCCCGGTGATAAATAAATAATCACCGGCACTGATTGGAGACACATTCAATGACAAGATACATTGGTTACAAGAATTACTTATACAATTACATTTATTTCTCTTGTTTTTTATTATCATCAAAGATCCTTTGTATATATGTATTGTTTTATGTTGTGTCTCTGTTGTTGTTAAGAAACTATTGTTAGTGGAAACAAACTTTGTTGCAGATGTTGTAAAGATGTTTGTAAAATTCTTAATACTGTTTCTGTTCTATTTTATTTTGTGATTTTTTACTGTCATAGACTTTACATTTAGAATGGCAGTTACAGACAATTCATGATCGTGGGAGTTATTATTAGATTATATAAGGGAAAACACTATTTTATATGCAGTGAACTGCACATGTACTGATAATATATATCAAAAATATTTCACCATTACAGTCAGGCCAGCTTGCTCATCCATATATAGTCTTAACATGTCAATATTTTTAAAGGAACTCAACTGAGGTCAAAAGCCTCAAACAAAAAAAAGAAATTATTTTATAGATCAACTGGGAATATCAAAGCAGAGAATATGCAAAGAGATGATAGAAAAATATCAAACAAATTTAACTGAAAATGGATAGTTTGTACCATTCTTAGCTCTTTATGAGTTATAAGTGTTTAAAGGCTTTTCTTTTTTGTGTCATTTCCCTTAATAAAAAATTAAAAATGTTTATTTTAGAAAAATGGAGAAAGTGAATGATCTGAATTTTTGCATGTTATTTTTTTATCCATAACTTCATCTCATTGTACACAAATTAGATAAATAACAATTCAGTCCTGCCATGTGAAGGAACCTCAGTGGAGTAGTCCCTTTAATGATCAAAGATGTATAATCATGTCACCATAGAGTAAGAATACTTTTCCTAATTTAGTGATAAAATGGTTTTTGACATGCTTTTGAGAAGGGATGGATATTTTAATGTTTAAAAACGGGTCCTTAAAACATTTTATTTCTCTAATTTGTATATGTAACTTCTAATATACATGTATAATGTATTGGTATATATTTGGATGCTATATCTGTATAATAAGAAATAATTATGTAAATGAACTAGGAAGGAAGTTTTTCACTATAATAGTGAGTGATTTTTATAAATGTATGAATGTTGTATAAACGGTTATAAATTTCAGTAAATTATGATTACATTAGTTAGAGCAATATGAACAAGAGATATACTCTGTTTATAAACAAACTACATGTACGTTTTGACGTCAGACGTTTGTGTAATTGTTGGTAATTGCGAGTTATTGTGTGATTTCAAGTTGACAAAACTCATTTAGAGCCAAAACAAACAAAAAATAAGATATTGTAAGGTCATTATGTCAAAGTTTTTTGGAACAGTGTATTATCTATTTTGAGGGAATCAAGTAAAAGAGCAAACACTATAGAGCCTGATCAGACTGTGTGATAGAGCATCCTGGCCTTGCTTGTTAGGCTAATCATTTTTCATTTCCAGCAGTTCTAGAATTAACGTAAGTATCAGAACAATTCAGATAATGTTTTTTCTTGATTTTGTGCACAACACTGTTTCAAGTAAAGATGCTTTTCAGAATTATATGGCATTTATTATAAGTTATAATAAGCAGTTTGTTTTTGTATACATGTATGTATTCATTCATGTATATTTCTATGAAAACTATGTTAGATTGCAAACTCATAATTTCTACTTTTTGTAGTTAATTTTAGGATATTTTAATTTTCAGGCATTCGGATTGGTTAGAAATTGATTTAAAATATTTTCAAATTTTCATGCTTTCTGATTGGTTGAACCTATGTTGTTGTTTTTTTTGTTTGTTTTTTTGACCGATCACTATGTTTATTTTCATATTTTTTAGTCATAATTTATGTGGAGAATATATAAAGTGCCACTGGGTATAAATATTAGTATGATATGTTTTACTGAAATTCAAGGAAATTAAACCTGTATACAGCATTTTGTTGTAATAAATCTAAATGTTCGGTATTTATTACTAAGAAGTGTAAATGTGTACTATATTTAGATTATATGACTTTGTTATGCGTATATATATATTGGATTATTGTGAGTTATTATTGTCTAATGTATATTATTGAAAGCTTATTACTATTAAAATCTCCTGGATACAATTACTTATTAGTTTGTTGTTATTTTGATTAAAATCCAGGGTGGGGTTACATATCAGGTCCATCTGTGTGGTGAAGGTAACAGCTATGTTGCCATTGTCACATTTATGTTGTCAAGGTCACATATATGTTATTAAGGTCAAATATTCGTTGTCAAGGTCACATATTTGTTGTCAAGGTCACATATTTGTTGTCAAGGTCACATGTTTGTGGTAAAGGTCACATTTATGTTGATAAAACTTCAAGGACAGGAAGCTATTCAGCTAGTGTGTGAGCTGTAAGTTGTTCTGCTTACTTCTTTACCTGTCTGTTCCTGATGTACTTATTGGCATGATCATCAAAGTCTTCAGATTAATGACAGTAGCAAACATATTGGCATTTTCTCAATACAAACTCATTTGACAAACATGTATTTAATTGATTATAAAAAAAACAAAGTGACCATCAAATTAAGACCACTTGTCGATAAAGAACATGTTGGGCTTTTCCCTTAGATGACCTTTGTTAACAGGTTTGACTGTATAGTGAACTTGTTATGGCAACGAGGCAATACTTAATGTTAACTTTTTATGGCAATGTGGCAATACTAAAGTAAATTTGTTGTGGCAAAAGACAATGCTCAAATTAACTTGTTGAGGCAATACTAACACAGGTATACTTTTTATGGCAATTAGTTACAAGTAATGTTAACTTGTTTTTGGCAATGAGGCAATTCTATAGTCAACTTATAAGTTAATGAGACAATACTACAGTCAACTTAAAGTAAATGAGGCAATACTAACTGAGGTTAACTTATTATGTATATCAAGGTCCTTATCTGAAGTTTTTCAGATGGCACCAAGACGATGCCATTGTCCGTATAACAAGTTCATTTCATGTTAAAAGATACAATAAAGGGAGGTAATTTAACAATTATGCTAATTTTAATGCCAGTTACATTGTCAAACTAGGATGACTATATAAACAAAACAGAACGAACAAAGTCATTAAAATTTGGTAAACACAAACACACGCACACACACACATACACTCATATTATGTTTTAAACTAGCAAGACACAGTATAATGAAATGTGCCAGGTGTTGAGGTGATTGCACACACCAGCAGCTAATGTGGCTCTGGACAGTAACTATGCTCCTAACAGGATGTGGAGTAAACTGATACTATGATATTGTTTAATATGCAAGGAAATATCAAACGGGCAGTCACGTATGGAGATGTATAAAGCAGTAATATCTGATAAAGGGAAGTAATGAAAATATGCAAATTAAAAAGTTGTTGGGTTGTTATATGTTAATAACTATATATAAAAATCACTTTGCAGGGTGGTGTTAAAACATCTTTATAAAACCAATTGAAGAAGATATTTTATCTCAGCTATTTAACCAATTCATAAGAACATGACCTTTGTTTATTGTCAACTGCTTATCTTTTTAAGAAATAGTGACTTTTTTGGTACAAAATAGCTCAAGACTGTTTTATTTCTTTGAAATTCCATTATTTTTTCATTTTCTAAAAATCCTTCTGTGAATGTTTTTAAGAACAGGGAGGTATATCTCCCTTTCAGAAAGGGTGATTCTTTTGAAAGACCCTGCTTCAGTTTATTGCCATGCACCAAACCCTAGTGCACAACTGATGCCATTGCTTTAAGTCAATGGCACGAGACGGTTGGTTTACATCCAACTCAGCTAGGTAAACCTCCTTTCAACCGGTTTAAATCTTAGTTTTACAAGGAGGTTATATTTTCACGGTATTTGTGTGTCACAAACAAATATGACTATGACTTTTATACAAAAGTAATTACGACAAATCTACAGGTTTCCAATATGCATTTTTTTATCTCCCTTTAACTAGGTAGACTGTAAATCACTACATGTATAAAGTATATTATTTTGTACCTTCACATTAAGAATGATTTGTCTATGTTTTTCTCTAATCGGCACAAATATTAGGATGCATTAACCTTTGAAGAAAGAAAGGGCAACAGTATTTATGCCAATGACATATATGTATTGCCTGAACATTGTTTTTAAACAAAATCTAGATATTGAAATATATGAATATATCTTTTTCCCTAATTTGATTTCACGAGAAAAAGAAAGAAAAAAGTTGTTTTTTTCTGAAACGTTTAAGTCTGCAATTCTATAAGGGTCTGGGTTTTCACGGAAATAAAACAAAATATCTCAGAGTAATTTTATTGCTTTGAAAATTTTCTTTAAAAAATCATTTCTCTATCCTTTTGCGAAGAGGATAAACTTGACTTCCTTTCTTTGATTGCTAAGCACCAAAGACTAGTGGACAATGGATGCTGTTGCTAACGCCAATAGTTCGACATGGCGTGTTTATGGCAACAGCCATCTCAGCCAAAGAGTAAATATCCTATCAACAGGTAATATTCTATTGTCTCTCAGATATATGTACTAGTATATCAACTATGAAACAACTGTGGTGGTGGTGTTGGTAGTTTTCGCTTCGAGTCTCGACAGTAAGCCACATTGAAATTATCAGAGCACTGTTCAGCCACCGCCACTGTTCGTTCGGTAGTCTATTGGTCCATCCGCTCAGGCACTGACGGTAATAATGAGGATCCATCCGCCCGTGAAGGATAAAAAAGTAGCTTATACTGTTGAGTACGGACCCGCATATGTCACCAGTCATGCCCTGTAAGGGGTAATCCTGAAGCATAGAGTGGTGATAATATACCTCCATGCAAAATCCACTGAGTATTAGTAGCCAAATATATGAATTTTGAGCCAAATAGTAGTCACTATACGGCGGTCAATGAGAACCAAAATGAACAGTAACCTGAGACAATATGAAAAGGAGGTAGCCCTTAAAAGGGTTGTTGGTAACAAACAAATGATGTCCTGAAGCCGTCACTCTGTGTGCTAGAAGCTTACGCAGCCTAGAACAGTTTCCTCTAAAAAGTACTAATAAGCCATTTATCTGAACTAATTTTTGCTTCACTTGCAAACAGATATAGTGATTAAGTATATATTTTGTATGGAAATCAAAATACTTCATTTTTTACATTTTGCTACTTTTGACAAACTGTTTCACATAACATACTATTTCCTTCTAACATGCTCTTAGACCTTTATTTAACGTTGTCAAACTCACGTGTGCCCTTTTTTAAGAAGGACAAAAATAGTTTCTGAGGCATGAGCCTTTAAAGAACACGAAACTCACAATGTGGCATACAAATCGTCTCAAACAATGAAAAACAAATGAAAAAATGAATGAAACAGATAAACCTGTTGACAAAGGTCATCCCATGGAGAAACCGAACATGTCCTTTATAGAGAAGTGATCCGAACACGTCCTTTATAGACAAAAGGTCTTAATTTTGAGGTCACTTAACAGAGGTTGCTTACTTTTTACCACACATTAAATACGATAAGAATATACGTGTACTTTATACTGTAATATACTAAATTAAAATAGTGCCACACATTTTTTAGGTTCGATATTCAGCCATTTCATAAATTATATGATATCTAAAAAGTGAACCAACCGGTCAGAGAACACCAATTCACTTAAAATCCAATATTCGTATTAATAATTACATTTCGGGAAAAGGAATTCGCGAAACGGGAACATACCGTAAGATGATATTGACCTGGCGTATATTTCTATTTTTTTCTTTATATTTTATAGATAAAAGGCGTATAAAGTAAATCACTGTGACTGTAATTTATCAAAATAGTATACTATATACTTGAGTCAGTCGAAATTGTAAATACTTTGTTATTAATTCATCAAAGTATGTCGTTGACTCAAAACCACTTACCCCTCACCGCTATGGGTTCGAGTCCCGACGGACTGGATTCTTTCGTGTGAGAAAGCTATCAAGCTAGCTAACAGAACATCGGTGGTTCTACTCAGGTGTCCGTTTGTGCCTGCATTAATGCACAGAAGGGCACCTGCATGAGGTCTTCCCCCACCAGTAAAGCTGGAACGTCGCCATATGACCTATACTGTGTCGGTTTGATGTAAAACCCAATCAAACAAACAAATCATCATCAAACGATTGTGAACGCGGTAAGTTGAATAATTGGCAAGAGGACCTGAATGTCTATTTTAACGGGAACCATAATGAGAAATGAAACCAGAAAAACTAATTTCCGGCGTGCTTGTATAAATAATACTGCAGGTAACCTGCTGGTTCTGATTTCCGGAGTGCTCCAAATATAATAGGACAGGGAACCAAAATCGCCTCCGATGAAGAGCAGGCAAACTTATCACCCTTAATGTAGCTGTACTTTCGGCGAAAGTTTTCAAATTTATCACATAAGCGGGTACCTGCATTACTGTAATACTCGCTTAGCTAGCAGACCCTTTGGGACCAGCTCTTTGAGCTTTACTATACTTCCGGCGAAAATCTTCAAATCCATAACATTAGCATGCACTCACATTACCATAATACTCCTTTTGGGGCAGCTCTTTCAGCTGGCTATTTCTACACTTTATCAGCATATTTATTAAATTACCTGATCAAGGACAACGTATATAAATCGTCATGTTACATTTTGTCGTCTAAATTTCTTAACTAATTCATCTCTGTCATTTAGCTTAAATTAAGAAAAAATAAATCATTCCTCTGACAATGTCGTCGTCGACGGTTCGACCATGGCCTGACCACTATTTTGATAATGAATCTCTGGCCATAGCGATAAACACGTGTCGCTGATTTAACTTAGGCCCTTATGCAATGTGAGGCAATATATATGTACATGATACTAAACAACTGGACACTGATAACTGACCAGGTGCATATATTGGTACTACGAAGTCAACCATGAAGTTATCATTATTGGCACTAATAATTGTTGCATTTTGTTCTTTTTGGTATTTTTCTCAATTAAAATATCATAACTTTACAATTACAGTTACAAGTTATACCACATTGATGATTATAAACTTCCATTACTTTTGTATGCACAGCGTTCGGGTAGTTGTTGCACGTCTTACACGAGCGTCTTTTTTCCCGCGCTTTAACGAAACTGGCAAAAGTTGTACATGTATAAATTTTAAAAAAATTGTGATTTCTTTTAATTCTTATAGCCTATTCATATAATAGAACAATTATTGACAATTGTGCCATTGAATATAATGTGATATTCACCGGCAGAAAGTCATATTGACCTAGGCTATCGCCTTGGTCAATTTAAATTTGTCATCTGCCGGTGAATATAACATCATATTCAATGGCTCATTTGTCAATAATTCTATAGTATTGCACGGCTAAATGATAAAATAATCAATAAGTGCTGTACTTTTTCCAACCACTTGGTGTAATTTCTGAATTGTTACCGTCATGTACTGGAAATAGAACAATGCATATCGTAGAAAACCGTAGTGATTTCCGGGTCTTGATTTAATTTTGGTAGCTACGTATGTTGGAATGTGAGCCTTAATTTAGCCATATGTCTGTGATTAGTGTAGTAGCTATTAAAACTTGTGCTTTTTATTTCTTATCCTTTAATTATAAAAGAATAAAGTACAGAAAAAAAATTGACTTGAACATAACACATCAAAATACACAACAGTATCAATATACATACAAAATACACATTCAACAGCAATTATTCACCTTCAAAGTCAAGGTCATTTATGAGTGAAGGTCAAGGGCTGTCTGGTTATTTTTAAGGGATATCCTTGAAGATTATTACGTTCAAGTTTGAAGACAATCCATTCAAAATAACAAAGTTACAGCCAATAATAGCAAAATTTGGACTTTTAACCTTGAAGGTCAAGGTCATTTATGGATGAAGGTCAAGGTTAGTGTGGTCTACTGAAAGTTCTTGTCCCAATGGTTGTTGTGGCCGAGTATGAAGACAATAAACCAAGAACTAAAAAAGTTATGATGCAGGTACAAGTTTACGGACGGCAACGGCAACGCCGCCGCGACTATAACAATACCTCTATTTTTTTTCCAAAAAAAGTCGAGCTAAAAAGGTGTTCAGCTTAAAATGACATTGACTGTCAAGGTCAAATTACTGAATTTTGGTTAAATTGTCATTTGTTATTTATGAGCGGATTTGAATTATACGTGGACTAAACAACACTTGTGGACACAATGACATGCTGAATAATTTAAATATAACATTGACCTTCAAATGACCTTGATCGTCAAGCTCTTATTATAGTTTCATATACATACTCATTAAGTCGAATTTAAAACATTCTTAGTGATTTAAAGATTCAGTATGATTAGGATTTGATACCAGCACCCAATTGTATAAACGTTGGTTAACTTTAACCATTGGGTTAAATCCATGGTTAGGTTAACTTTTGGGTTGAACGTTAAGAATAATATGTATGTGGGTTTGGTAGTTTCAGTCACTGCATATCAAATAAAGTTTTCCTTAATATATTCTTATTTTTACCTATGATCTTATACCGTTATAAATATAAAGTCTATCACAGTAACAAAAAACACAAAATATAATAGAACTGAAACTGTGTTAAGAATTTTACAAACATCTTTTAAAGAGAAACAACATAAACAATACATATATAGTGTATACAAATGATTCATGACAATAATAAAAGAAACAAAAATAAAAGAAAACTAGTAATGTGTCATCCTGCCACGGATGCCCCCGCATGCAGCCAAAATTTCAGATGTTATAATATTTAGTTCCAAATTTGTTTGCACAAATTATTTTTTTCATTTTAAGTTCAAAGCCCTTAAAACTTTTCAATGTTAACACAAACAATTTTCATACAATGTTCAAGGCACTGAAATTATTCAGTCTAAACCTTTTGAAAATAGCATATTTCATATTTGTAGCCAAAAAAATGGCTACATACATTTCCACAAAAGTATGAGTGCTGAAACTGAAAGTTCAAATTTTTTCCAACATTCAAAAAAAATAAGTTTGTCCAAAATCATTGAACCACGACCAAATTCAAACTTAAACTGCTTATTCCTAAGATGTATCTTTATTATTTTCAAAGTGAAAGGGACACAACTCTGCCAAAAAATAATCGAACCATGACCTAATTCCAACTTGACCTGCCCATTCCTTTGACATATCCTATGTCAAATTTGAGTTGAATATGTAACACTGTTGGGTAGATAATGAACAGAAACTGTAAATTTCATATTATTTTCAAAATGAAAGGGGCATTACTCTGCCTAAAATCATTGAAGCATGACCTAATTCGAACTTGGCCTGGGAATTTCAAAAACATATCCATATGTCAAATTCGAGTTGAATGTGTTGTACCGTTGGGGAGATAATGAACAGAAACTGAAAATTTCATATTATTTTCAAAGTGAAAGGGGCATTACTCTGCCAAAAATCATTGAACCATGACCAAATTTGAACTTGACCTGCGCATTCCTTTGACGTATCCATATGTCAAGTTTGAGTTGAATGTGTTGTACCGTTGGGGAGATAATGAACGGAAACTGAAAATTTCATATTATTTTCAAAGTGAAAGGGGCATAACTCTGCCAAAAATCATCGAACCATGACCAAATTCAAACTTGACCTGTATTGTTTCATGACATAACCATGTGTCAAATTTGAGTTGAATGTGTTGTACCGTTGGGGAGATAATGAATGGAAACTGAAAATTTCATATTATTTTAAAGTAAAAGGGGCATAACTCTGCCAAAAATCATCAAACAATGACCAAATTCGAACTTGACCTGTATTTTCTCATGACATATCCATATGTCAAATTTGAGTTGAATGTGTTGTACCGTTGGGGAGATAATGAACGGAAACTGAAAATTTCATATTATTTTAAAGTAAAAGGGGCATAACTCTGCCAAAAATTATCGAACCATAACCAAATTCGAACTTGACCTGTATTTTCTCATGACATATCCATATGTCAAATTTGAGTTGAATGTGTGCACCCGTTAATAAGATAATGAACGGAAACTGATGCTGACGGAATGACAGAATGACGGAAGGACGGAACAGGGTAACACTATATGCCCCGCCAGTATATGCCCCGGCCATTACATGGCGGGGGCATAAAAATGTATTTGTATGAGAATTTCTTGTAACCAATTTATCTTGTCATTGCATACGTCTCCAATCAGTGTCGTTGATTATTTATTTATCACCAAATCAGAACTGGTTACATCACTGAGTTTATCTACTATATTCATACATCTTAGAATTACAACTTTAATGACCAGTGTGACTTAACATATGCCTTTTAAGGGAACCACCTTGAGAATATGATTTGTAACAAATTTCACACTTATACCTATTATCGCCAGTGTGAATGGTCATATGTCTTTTAAGTGCACTGCTTCGCAAAAACATTTTATCCCATATTTCACATTTAGACATTTTATCGCCAATGTGAATGGTCATATGTCTTTTAAGTGCACCGCTCTCCAAAAACATTTTTTCACATATTTCACATTCATGTCTCTTGATACCCATGTGAAAGTTCATGTGATTGTTAAGACCAGTTTTGCAAGTAAATGATTTACCACAATGATCACATTTAAAGTTCTTGGTTGCAATGTGAATAGTCATATGTTTTCTGAGGTCACTACTTTCATAAAAGGTTTTTTGACAAACCCCGCATACTAGTACGTTGTTCTTCTCACCAGTATGAATTTTCAAATGACTGTTTAGATTACTTTTAAATCTGAATGACTTATCACAGAATTCACATGTGAAATACTTCTCGCCTGTGTGTATTCGTAAATGGCTTTTAAGGAGGGGTTTTCGAAGAAATGATTTTTTTACAAATTCCACATGATTGTAATCCTTTTTTCACCAGTGTGATTTGCAGTCCTTATATGTCTTTTCAGCTTGCTTGCATAGAGAAATGTTCTAAAACAAATGTCACATCTATGAAACTTCTGACCAGCATGAGTTAAAACATGCGCCTTGAATTGATTTCGTCTGATGAATGCTTTTGAACAGATTTCACATTTGTATTTCTTCTCACCTTTGTGGATTATTAAATGAGATGTAAGGTTGCTTCTTTGAGTAAATTTTTTATTACAAATTTCACATTTATGTTTTTTTTCGCCACTGTGAATTTCCATATGCCTTTTTAGCTTCTCTTTAATATTGAATGAAATATCACATATTTCACAAGCAAAGTTCTTTTCAGCGGTGTGAATTGACAGGTGCCTTTTAAGATTACCTTTACAATTAAATGATTTATCACATATTTCGCATGCAAAGTTCTTAACACCAGTGTGAACTGTCATGTGACTTTGAAGATTAGAGATGTTTGAATATGCTTTATCACAATTATCACATTTATAATTCTTCTCACTCTCACCAGTGTGAATGCGGATATGTCGTTTCAGGGAACTAAGGTTAGAAAATGATTTATCACATATTTCGCATGCAAAGTTCTTTACACCAGTGTGAATTGTCATGTGACTTTTAAGATTAGAGATGTTTGAATATGCTTTATCACAATTATCACATTTATAATTCTTCTCACTCTCACCAGTGTGAATGCGGATATGTCTTTTCAGGGAACTAAGGTTAGAAAATGATTTATCACAGATTTCGCATGCAAAGTTCTTTACACCAGTGTGAACTGTCATGTGACTTTGAAGATTAGAGATGTTTGAATATGCTTTATCACAATTATCACATTTATAATTCTTCTCACTCTCACCAGTGTGAATGCGGATATGTCTTTTCAGGGAACTAAGGTTAGAAAATGATTTATCACATATTTCGCATGCAAAGTTCTTTACACCAGTGTGAACTGTCATGTGACTTTTAAGATTAGAGATGTTTGAATATGCTTTATCACAATTAGCACATTTATAATTCTTCTCACTCTCACCAGTGTGAATGCGGATATGTCTTTTCAGGTTACTAAGGTAGGAAAATGATTTATCACATATTTCGCATGCAAAGTTCTTTACACCAGTGTGAATTGTCATGTGACTTTGAAGTTTAGAGATACTTGAATATGCTTTATCACAATTAGCACATTTATAATTCTTCTCACCAGTGTGAATGTGGATATGTCTTTTCAGGTTACTAAGGTAAGAAAATGATTTATCACATGTATCACAAGCAAAGTTCTTTTCACCGGTGTGAACTGTCATGTGATTTTGAAGATTAGAGATACTTGAATATGCTTTATCACAATTATCACATTTATAATTCTTCTCACCAGTGTGAATGTGGATATGTCTTTTCAGGTTACTAAGGTAAGAAAATGATTTATCACATGTATCACAAGCAAATTTCTTTTCACCGGTGTGAACTGTCATGTGATTTTGAAGATTAGAGATACTTGAATATGCTTTATCACAATTATCACATTTATAATTCTTCTCACCAGTGTGAATGTGGATATGTCTTTTCAGGGTACTAAGGCAAGAAAATGATTTATCACAGATTTGGCATGCAAATTTCTTTTCACCAGTGTGAATTGCAATGTGCGTTTGAAGATAATCGCTTCTTGAGTATGCTTTGCCACAATTATCACATTTATATTTCTTCTCACCAGTGTGAATTGCAATGTGCCTTTGAAGATCAGAGCTACTTGAAAATGCTTTGCCACAAGTATCACATTCATAATTCTTCTCAGCAGTGTGAATATGGATATGTTTTTTCAGTTTACTAAGGTAAGAAAATGATTTACCACATGTATCACATCTAAAATGTTTCTCACTGGTGTGAATCGCCATATGTGTTTTAAGTTGACTGCCATGAGAGAAAAGCTTATCACAAATTTCACATCTAAAGTTCACCTCTCCGGTAATGCTCATCATTTCTGTTTCAATACAATTTCCTGAACCTCTTTATCGAACTCCCTACAATTTTTTGCTTTTCGATCAATTTCCTGTGTTAAGAAAGAAAATCATATACTTAATTTCAAATAAAACAAGAGCACCGCTAGGCGGAGCATTATATGCCCGAAAGTATTGGTTTTTTTAGTAAGGATGAAGCATTTGTAAGGCATTGCATAAATTAAACAAAGTATTACCTCTTTCAAATAGCAATCCACCTATAAAGTGTAAATATTGTGGGCAAAATGGAACTTAAGTTATGCTCTGGAAACTGTTTTCAGTTTTGAGGTAATAGCGACCTTGAACTTTGACCTTGTGACCCCAAAATCAATAGGGGTGTTCTACCCAATATGGACAATCATCCTATGAAGTTTGAACACTATGGGCCAAATAGAAATTAAGTTATCTTTTAGAAACTGTTTTCAGTTTTTAAGTAATAGTGACCTTGACCTTTGACTTTGTGAATCCAAAATCAATAGGGGTCTTCTACCCAATGTGGACAATCATCCTATGAAGTTTGAATATTGTGGGCCAAATAGACCTTAAGTTATGCTCCGGAAACTGTTTTCAGTTTTAAAGTAATAGTGACCTTGCCCCTTGACCTTGTAAACCGAAAATCAATAGGGGTCTTCTACCGAATAGGGACAATCATCCTATGAAGTTTGAGTATTGTGGGCCACATGGAACATTAGTTATACTCCGGAAACTGTTTTCAGTTTTAAAGTTATAGTGACCTTGACCTTTGACCTTGTGACCCCAAAATCTATATGGGTATTCTACCCAAAATCATTGAAAATGGACAATCATCCCATGAAGTTTGAATATTGTGGGCCAAATAAACCTTAAGTTATGCTCCGGAAACTGTTTTCAGTTTTAAGGTATTAGTGACCTTGATCTTTGACCTTGTGACCCAAAATCAATAGGGGTCTTCTACCCAATATTGACAATAATCCTATGAAGTTTGAACACTGTAGGCCAAATGGAACTTAAGTAATCTTCTTGAAACTGTTTTCAGTTTTAAGGTAATGGTGACCTTGACCTTTGACCTTGTGACCCCAAAATCAATAGGGGTCTTTCACCCAATGGACAATCATCCTATGAAGTTTTAATAATGTGGGTCACATGGAAGTTAAGTTATACTCCGGAAACTGTTTTCAGTTTTAAAGTAATAATGACCTTGACCTTTAATTTAAACATATTCATTTCCCGAACATTTACATGATATACATAATACAAAACAATCAGAATACAAATATATAATATATTCAAAGAAAAGGATGAGAACGAAAGACTAAGTCTTATAAAATTCTTCTCCTTAACCTTTGACCTTGTGACCCCAAAATAGATAGGGGTCTTCTACCCAATATGGACAATCATCCTATGAAGTTTGAATATTGTGGGCCAAATGGAACTTAGGTTATGCTCCGGAAACCAAATTGCTAACGGACGGACGGACGCCATGGGGTATAACATATGCCCGAAATTCTTTCGGCCATATAAAAGCGGGTAGATCTACCTAATAAATCTTAGAATCAATTTTATTATTTGTTTTCCTCTCATATTCAAACGAATTTAATTTTTGTTTGCTCTTAAATTTAATCCATATATACATTTATATACAGTCAAAGTATAACAAATAATAATTAAAGCAATTAATAGTGTTTCCTCTTTTCTTAAAGATACATATTAAATAGTTGAAAAATATGGCACATGTATAATATGTACTGTACATAATTCTCACAACAAATGCAAATTCGAAACTCCATTTTTAATTTTCATAGGAAAGGCTACCATAGAACAACATGCATGCAATTATCAATAGCATTGACATTACCCTAGGCTGTTACGTTTTAGGCTGATAAACATTTTTCAATATCAACTGTTGGCCAATCATCATTTTGACAGCCAGTCTTTTGTAATATAAAGGCAATTCAGCTCAATTTGACAATAGAAAAGAGCATGCATGTCTCTTTAATTAACAGTTTAGAATAAACAGGTTAGATTAATAAAAACTAGATCTACATTTACCCTGGACCTGGGTATCATACATTAAAGACACTTACTCAATAAGGTTATTCATATCAAATTGGCATGGAATAAATATTTAAATAGACATTATAATAAGAATCTACCCGAGTCTCCACTTATTATAATGGAGTAATGAAATCAAAGCGGAGTTACTCTGTTAACACGTTCTTCATAAATTAAACGCAAGTAAACATCATACTGTATTAAACAATTAATAAATTCAGTATAGCAATACAACGTGTCCGTGTTATTCTACTGGGGAAAATATAAGCTTGCGACAGAATATTGGATCTTCTTCAGTTTATGAGTCGTTTTATCAAACACTTTATTTTGTAAGACCTTGAAAGTTCATTAATTGTATAAGATGGACTTTCGAATGCAAACTATTTCGTTTTCTTGTATTATCTGATCTTTGCCATAATCAAAACTTCCGGTTTACATCCTTAATATGTTTATATTGCTATTATTTGGAATAAACAGGTTAGATAATAAAAATTATATTTACCCTTGAGCTGGGTCATATCATAACCCGATAGAGCTATAAAATGTCCCATTTAAACTGGAAATGAACTTTTGCCTGATATGAATTAACAAAACGACGTTGAATAAAAAATAAAACATTTTTGTAAACTAAAAAAAGTCACCCTCGAGAGTTTTCAGGATTTTACTTTAAAGTGTCTACTTTTCTTGTGAAAGCAAATTTTGATTTTTCTCTGTTGTTTATTTTCCGAAGCCATTGCCGTAGTACTCTTCATTTGAAGATGAACGGGAGAAAGCACGTGTCATGTTTCTAAAATATACATGATGTTCTCGGGGTCGTTTCATGATTATTTTACAAAGCTGGATCTGCAAGATGTAGACTGACAGTTTAGTTGCAATGCATGATGGAAAACTTTAAAAAATGAAAAATAAGCAACAAGAACACCGAGTCACATGGAGTAGATCTAGAAACTGCACTTACTTTTAAGCTGAATAGAATCCCGTCAATCCCTATGAATTTCGAAATAGGGAATCTAGATCTTTAATTTTATAAACGTCACGACAAATTCGCATTCTGAAGATTCCTTCATTACCACATTCTATCCAGTTCCGTAGATCCCACTTTTTTACTTCAAAATTCCTGAATGGCATGACTCCTACACTTTTGATGATCCAGATTTTTTAAACTGATTAACCGTCTCATTATTAAAACATTGTTCAATTTGTGGAGTTATCTTGGTTACCAAATGAAATATGTAAATGAAACACATCATAATTCAGCATGTTCCAAATCCATAATTCAAGAGCTGCCCATCAATTTTAGTTGTCAACATCACAATGCTTATGGATTCCTGACGTAAAAACAAACTTTAAATTACGTCAACAACAATTTACGAAATATATGACGTAACAAAATGCCTCGCGCTTTTTATGGATGATTCCAGTTGCGGCATTGACAGAGGGCGGTTACAGTAGGCATATGTAACCTCAAAAAGATAATTTTATGCGTTGAGATAAATTTGTCTTGATAGCATTTAAAATAATTTTTATCGCATGGTTTGGAACTTTTCCTTTGTTCTTACTAACCCATTATACTCAGTTCACTTCAATGAGCATTTGAAAACTGTATTGATATATAACAGTACAGTTTTTTCATTGATTCATATAGGAAAAAACTCGACTGTTATATTTCGGTCGAGTTTCTTCGCTCCTTGTATATATCAAATTGAATGCAGTTTTTTGTTCATAGAGGCTCCAATGGGGCACTGGTAACGACCATTTCTAGATCTAGTAGCAAAAAAATAAATAAAAAAATGAATTCAATAATATAAAATAAATATATAAATACAATGAAAAATATAAACAAAGATAATTAATGAAATGAAATTTACTCTCATTTAATCAAAAGGTACATCCGCTGAATGAATTATTTCCACTGAAAAAAAAGCCCTTTAATCTTGACAGTTTACAATCCGCCTCTAACATTGGATGTCTTTTGTATATTTTTTTGCAGCAGCAGCGAATACAACTTATCATAAATAACTGTAATGTAGCTAACGATGTATTTATTTATTTATTTGTTTCTATTACAAAAAAAAAGAAAACATGTCATTGCGATAAAACAGTTATAGTATATGAAACTCGTTAGTTACGGGGGTATAACACTGGCTGGGGCGACATCTCGGGACGTTTCTGCAAAAAAAAAATTGTCTCGGTCTAACGGCCTCGCCATTTTTTAGCAGAAACACCCCTTGATGTCGCCCCAGCCAGTGTTATATCCTCGTAGCTAACTCGTTTCATGTACTATAACTATTACTTGTATACCCAGTTTTTGCAACTTAACTGTAAAAATTACACCTTCAATTCATATTTTGATAATATAAAACTTTTGATAACATTTAAAAATAATTTTAAACACACTTAATGACATGAATCTACAACAGTAACGTTAGGCCTACAATACTTCTTCCATTAATTATATTTAACATTCGTTTAGATTTTATGTTTTTAAACTATTTTATATATTTCTCAGAAATAATTTCCCTACATATAATCTCGTTGTAAATCCTACTATTTTAGCTACAAAATATACAATACGCGGTATTTTTTCTTCCGCGAAAAATATGCAAGATCTATTGGTTTTTTCACTGAATATTTTCAAATTTTAGGAAGGCTATAATTATTGAGAACGTCACTCGCTGTTTCTCTTTGACTCAATCTACCCTTCATATTAACAAAATAATTATATGTAACACTTTGAGTCTACAAAAAACACTTATTGTCGCTTATTGATCACTCCAATTCAAACTTACTCTTAATAATATCAAATCACTGCCGGTATTTCTTGACATTTTGTTGAATTGTGAGACGGAAAGTTAAATCTGTATTTACGAGCCTAAAGTGTATAGGCATACGTTTGATTGCTTAAACTAGAAAGCATGATATTATATTCTTATAATCTACATTTTCCTCGTACGTGAGTCTTTGTTCTCTCGTTAGCGAGGGAGTTAGTTAAAGTAGACACTGTGGTAACAAGTAAACCAATGCCGAAGGTATAGTGAATCAGTTTTCCTTTCTTTATATTTTTTGTCAGATTTGCATGATAATGTAGTATTTGTTCGCGATTTCTTGTGAAAGTTGAAACCTACGGTAAGTCTTAGCGCACGAACATCGCACCCGAAATAAGAAGGGTAACATATTTTTGTATCCCATTGAACCTGGTCAATTTATTTATTTTTGAATAGACGTGATACTCACTTATGGACAGAATTCAGACAACTACAGAATTATGTGAATTAAACATTAATTAGCGAAGAACCATTTTTATAGTCTTCTAGCTAGTGTTCCCGCTCCCCTACGACGGTTGTGGTATTCAAGATACGCGCTTGATTGAAAAGCTATCTAATCAAATCACTTCATTGTTCTTTTTCTCTTAAAAATATAAAATACGACAGTATATCATGGTAATTATCAAATCTTTGTGTGTTAGAATTTATAAAGCTTACTGATATTTTCGCTTAAAATGATATTGATTATTCTAATATAGATAATGGTTTGCTAATGAAATTGCCTTTTTGACACCAACTTTGTTGTCATTTTTCATTTTAATGATAACATTCAGCTATTAATCAGTACGTAAATAATAATATTTTTTTTTATAATTACCGAGTACATTTCACGCTAATTGTGAGACGAGCCCTAAATGACGTCTATATGGGCGCCGCCATTTTTAAATGGACGTCGCGTCAGGTTACAACGTAAGTCAACGGGAAAAAAATGTAATTTTTACATTTTGACCATATTGCTGACAGTCAGACTTTATGAGAAAATTGAAAAATATGCCTAGATATATTGACGTCAGGGTTAACATGACATTTATTTAAATGATTTTACTATTATATTAACCCTTACCAAAAAAAGGGCTCTCTGGTGAACATTGCGGCAAGTTTGCCGCAAACATTGCGGTGAGTTTGCGGCAAACTGCTTTCAGCAATTATTTACCATGCAAATGAGGTTTGCGGCAAATTTGCCGCAACTCATGAGGTTAGCGGCAAACTTGCCGCTAACTATAGGGGGAGGTAGCTTCTGTTTGCGGCAAATTTACCGCAAACCTCATTTGCATGGTAAAAGTTTGCAGATGTTCGCCAAAAGTTTGCGGCAAATTTGCAGCAAACTTCATCTGCATAGTAAGTTTGCGGATGTTCGCCAGAAGCTTTTGGTAACACTGCGGCAAACTTCATTTGCATATTTGCCAGTTTCAGCAAATATGTTATGGCGATATTTTGTTAAACATTTTGGTAAAGTTCTGGCGAACAATTTTTTCAAACGTTGGAATAATAAAAACTAGCTGAATTATAAGAAAACAAATACATATTAGTTTAACACATTTTTTCAATAGAAAATAAAAGAAATATTACAAACATATCAGTAGAATAAAATGAAATTTGATAAATTTGTAAAATAAAGAAATTAATTCCCAAAAAGAGATAAATTTTACACACATTTTATTAGCAACTGATTCTATACATATTTGACTTGCATAAATTTCCACTCTTTAGTTATGATGCTATCATGAATTGTTCATATTACTTAATAATCAATTAAAACAAGAGCCAGTTGAACCGGGGTGATCCTAGATACAGAAAAGTATATCTTTTGAAGTTTCAGGGTTATGTCCCAGACAAAGTTCAAAGTGTGATAATTCCAAAATAGCTGTAAAATCCCACTTTAAATAACGACGTTATGGGCCGTACACATTTTTGCTTCAAGGTCATGCTGTGACCTAGACCTTCAAGGTAATGACCCAAATGTTGCATGTGACATATCGTCTCAATATGGTGATCATTTCGGTGAAATAGTTGTAAAATCCGACTTCAAATAACGAATTTATGGGCCGGACACGATTTTGCTTCAATGTCATGTTGCGACCTTGACCTTCAAGGTATTGACCCAAATGGTGTGTGCGACACATCGTCTCAATATGGTGATCATTTCTGTGAAATAGTTGTAAAATCCGACATCAAATAACCAAGTTATGGGCCGGCACAATTTTTGTTTAAGGTCATGCTGTGACCTTGACCTTCAAGGTAACGACCCAAATGCTGCGCACGACACATCGTCTCAATATGGTGATCATTACTTTTAAATAGCTTTAAAATCCGACTTCAAATAACGAAGTTATGGGCAGGACATGATTTTGTTCAAGGTCATGGTGTGACCTTGACCTTCAAGGTAGCGACCCAAATGTTGCGGGCGACAGGTCGTCTCAATATGGTGAGCATTTCTGTGAAATAGTTTTAAAATCCAACTTGAAATAACAAAGTTATGGGCTGGACACGAATTCAGGTTCGTATGTACGTACAGACAGACGGACAGACAACCCAATGACTATATGGTCCGCCGAAATTTTTCGGGGAGCATATAAACAATGTTTGACAATAGCTATTATTCAGCACATGTTGCAGTATTTCTTAGCACCATAAATGGGAAATATAATATTGTTGTAAAAGATAAAAATCAGAAAAGTTACAGTTTGAAATCTTCTATCTGGACAAAAAGTTTCATTCAAACATGAACTGGCATGGATTAACATACATACTTCGACATCCACTTAGACAAATCACTATTAATAACAATAAATACTAACAATAGCGTTATGTGTTATGCAAAAACAGACTAGACCAATAATGGCTTTCAAAATTGTAAAAATGAATCTCAAAAATATTTTTGGTCTTAAACAAACAACATATTTCATGGACATAATACCTTCAGATTTAAACTCATATGTCATATAACATTATGATTGTGAGCAAAACAATATCTGACACGAACAATTATGGCTTTCAAAATTGTTAAAATTAATCACAACAATATATTTGGGTCTTATACAAACAACGAATTTCATAGACATAATTTTTTGTTTGCTTGTTTTGGGTTTTTACGTCACATCAACACAGTAAAGGTCATATCGTGACGTTCAGGTGCCCTTCCTTGCATTATTTCAGGCACGAACGGGTATCTGAGTAGAACCACTGACGTTAAGCTAGCTGGATAGCTTCCTCACAAGACAGATTCCAAAGTCCCTGTCGGGATTCCAACCCACAGCGGTGAGGGGCAAGTGGTTTGAAGTCAATGACCTTAACCACTCGGCCACGGACGCCCCTCATAGACATAATAACTAAAGATTTAAACTAAATGTCTTTAGTCATGTCATATAACAATTGCAAGCAAAACAAAAACAAACTAGAGCAATAATGGCTTTCAAAATTGTAAAAATGAATCTTAACAATATTTTTGGGTCTTATACAAATATAGACATAACTATTAAAGATTAAAACTAATTGTCTTTAGCCATGTAATATAATGATTGCAAGCAAAACAAAAACTGACTAGAACAATAATGGCTTTCAAATTTGTAAAAATGAATCTTAACAATATATTTGGGTCTTATACAAACATAAACATAATAACTTAAGAATAAAACAAAATGTCTTTAGTCATGTCATATAACGATTGCAAGCAAAACAAAAACAGACTAGACAATATCGTAAGTTTGCATGAAATTGGCTTGGCAATTTATGAGATGTTGTTTAAAGATCAAGTTTACGGACGAAAGATAGACAAAAGCTCGCAATGTCACTTTGTTAGCTAAAAACGCACTACTTTACTCTTTCACTCTTCCAAGTTTCAGTGCCCTGGCCATTGTGTGTATTTTGGTGTTGACTGCTTTGGTGACTAAGCTTCTCTCCATATTTAGTTTATTGGTGCAGTACACTGAAAAAAACAAGGTTTATTTTTCATTTCCATGTTACCATGTTTATACTGGATAAAACTAGAACTATCACTGAAGGTGAATGATACCCCAAAACCCCACTTTGAAGTAAAGTGGCAGTAATCTATTAGTATTAAGCCCACCTACAAATGAAGAAAATAAACACCAAAGGCAATTATTATTTATTGCTGGCTTGATTTTGATCTGTTGGGATGAACATGTATTTGCATTGCAAAACCTAGATTTATTTACAAATGACAAGTGGCTCATAAATTATATTATTTATCTAACTTAGTTAAGAAATCAAGGTATCATGTTAAAAAAACACCAAAATAACAAACAAGAGCGATCAGTGATCACATGTGTCGCCTCATGATGGCCAATTTCATGTTGGGACAAGTTTTGTGACAGACAGACAGTGCACAACTAGACTTGGTACTGATCATTCCTTTAAAGTTTGGATGAAATTGCACCAGTAGTTTTTGAGGAGTAGTCCGGACAAGCTTTTATGTATCTGGCAACACACAGAAAAAAAACCACCTTTTCATCAAACTTGCCAAAATATCATTCAACCGGAAAACCTGTGCAATATGTGCAAGGACTTGAGCAACAGATCAATCCTGTAAAGTTTCATTGAAATTGCATTTGTGGTATAAGAGATGTAGTCCGGACAAACTTAAAAAAAGGGCCATACCTCTGACAAAAATCATTGAACCGGAAAATGCTGACAATATGCACAACTAGACTTGGTACTGATCATTCCTGTAAAGTTTGGATGAAATTGCACCAGTAGTTTATGAGGAGTAGTCAGGACAAGCTTTTGTGTATCTGGCAACACACAGAAAAAAACACCTTTTTATCAAAGGGCCATAACTCGGCCAAAAATCATTCAACCGGAAAACCCATGAAATATGCACAAGGACTTAAGCTACAGATCAACCCTGTAAAGTTTCATTGAAATTGCATTAGTGGTATAAGAGAAGTAGTCAAGACAAACTTTAAAAATAAAAATTATTAAAGGGCCATAACTCTGACAAAAATCATTGAACCGGAAAATGCTGACAAAATGCACAACTAGACTTGGTACTGATCATTCCTGTAAAGTTTGGATGAAATTGCACCAGTAGTTTATGAGGAGTAGTCCGGACAAGTTTTGTGACGGACGGACAGATAGACAAGACGACGGAGAAATGATCCCTATATGTTGCAACTACTCCATAGAGGCGACACAAAAATGAACCATGCTGTGAACATGACAGCTAGGTCAGAACTCAAAGTTAAAACCAGGGTAATTCAAATAACCATTAGGATTTTTCTTCTAAATGCCACTGTTTGAAAGAACAATGTTGACTAACCAGTCTTACTTGTATGCAAAACTCACTTTTTCAATTATACATCAATAACAGTGGTTAAAATATACACAGATACTTTTCTGACAAATTCTAAATCATTACTGACATGATGACTGAGAAAAACTTGAAATGTGTCAATAAAACACGGATGCCCCCACACGCCAATGTTCTGTCAATCTTATGACTCTAGGTCAAATAGTTTTTGGACTACATGTGCCACAAGTTGAAAACTAAAAATCAACAAAGGGCCATTATTCTGTTTAATTTAGTTGCAGCAAAAATTCCTTCCTTTACTACCATCTACACATTAAATTTGTTAATCCCTGGAAGTTTAAGCAAAATCTGCCATCCGGTTTAAGAGGAGTTGCGTTCACAAGATTTTGGGACAGACTGACAAGTGCCACGCTATATGCTCCCACATTGTGGGGGGATAAAAATAATCTTATTTTACTTACATGTTAAACTGTCAAATCCTCTTTTGTGCCAGGCAGTATCTACTGCACTGGACATACCACTGCGGGTTTTACAGGGAAATTTCGGGGAAAGTCTTAATCTGCTGTGAGGTTTTTTAAGATGTGGACCACTTCTGATTTGTTTTCAACCTTTGACTGTCTGTGAGAACTGTAATTGTAAAAATATATTTCAAAAATATTTTCTGTATTTTAAAATTCATCTTTAAACGTAATATTGACAAATATTGAAGATTGAACACCAATGAATTGACAATAACATATTTATAATTAATGTAACACAATGTTCATACAGTTACTAGAATAAGTTTTGTTTATTATTAATGCTAACTGCACGACTTTTTCCTGACCAATTTTAGTAATCACTTTTATGAAATAATTCCGTTTCGGACTGCATATCGATTATTCATCACATGAAGATACATCAAATTGTTTCTATTGAAGACCACCCCAAATAGCATTACAAAATTATCACAGTATTATCATTTAATTGCTACACCATGATTATAAATATATATAAAAAAAACTCATAGATTTCAACTTACAGTTTAATAGGCATTTTTGTTTGATGTATTGTTGAGGATTGTTAATCACAATTGTATAAATCTGACCATTCACTGTCATTTGTAACTGTAGCATTTGACTGATGAATAGACCTTGAATAAAAAAAAAAAATACATATGTACAAAAAGTATATGGAGAGATATTCATATATTGAAGCAACTGACATAACACAAACAGTTAAACAACACCAGTCAGTTTTGCATAGTCCTTTACTTTCGTAAATAAACAAAATACAGAAAACAAACTACCAGTACTCACTTTAGTGCTGGCAAACATCTGGCAAAGGACATCCTCCGAGATCTTGTCAATAAGATCTTCCATGATGTTGTGTTCTGATACCATTGGTTCTTCATGATGCACATCCCTTAAAAAGAATGCATGTATTTAATATGAATTTTAGTCTTAAACCAATGAAGGTAAAATATGATAAACAAGATCAACAAGGAAAGGCGGCGTTCAATGAACGCAACCCCCATATGACCAAGCAACAAGTACCAATGGCAAGGAGCCCAGGCGGACCCAGTTTGTCATGTAGAAATAAATACTTTTTTAAAAAAACAATTACACATTCATGTTATTTTGAAAAAAGAAATATGTACATGAATATAGAGTAACATGCAAAAACAACAAAGCCATTGTTTAAAATTCTTTTCTCATATATGGATTGTATAATATTATTTGGTTCCCTAAACCACGAGTGTGCCAGCAATATAGGATTATACCATGATAAGCTGCATAGACATATAATTACAAAATAATTTTTGAAATTCTTCCAATTCAAGTACATGTTATTTCGAAAATATCATTGTAAATGTAAATGTGTCTTACTCCATTTCCTTGATCTTATGCAGCAGATTATGTCGGCATAGAAGCCAGTGCTGTCTCAATGATATTTCCAACACGTCTCTCCATTTCTTTTCATGTTTTTATTTCCAATTGTTGGTATATTTAGTGTTGACAACAAATTGTTGACCCTCACCGGCCCACCTACACTATCAATCATTGCTGTAAGAAAATGAAAGAAACAAATTATTTCATTAAAGTATACAAATATTTTGTCAAAAAAAAACTTCACATGGATTGTAATTTACATAACCATGATAATAACACATTGCATAAATTAATATAGAGCTATTTTTAGCTGCCTCATGTACGTTGAATATTAGTACTACTGTGACTGTGTGTATTGGCAGCCTAGTGTAAACTGTGTCTTTTATATAATGTACATGTAGGATTCTGTAATGTCTTACTAAAAATTGCATTGTTGCAATATTTAATTTAGCAACGTTTTATCATTTGTTTTTCAAATTTCTCAGTGACTTTGGGGAAATTAAAACAGTTCAGAGGGAAGTTTATAAAACATTTCACAATAGGAAGTGGCTAGCCGTACGGGCCCGTACGGCTAGCCAAAAGTACTAGCCAGGACACACTGTATTGGCTAGCCGTACGGCACTTTTCAAAATTATATGGAGTATGTGAGTCACGTACGGCTAGAACTTTTGGCTAGCCGTACGGCTAGCCACTTCTTTCACAATAAGGAGTAGTGTTTTACAGCTAAACACAAACAAGATACATGTATTCTGTATAATAAATTAATTATTTATAAATCTGAAACATAAATTTGGTCCGCATAATTTTACATGTTTGACATCATTGGAAGACAAGTAAATAAACACTGATAAATCATAATGTATCGATATATTCATTTTGGTACGAGACATTACATCTATGAATTCATTATCAGTATATAGTACTTAATGTAAACTATGATGCAATACATTAATCACTTACCTGTTCCTAATTTTGTGTTGACAACGAACCATGGCATTCCAACTTTCACAGGTCTTCAATCTACTAGAGTCTGTGTGTTTTTCCATAGGGAACACAATTCACATGACCGCATTCTGTGTTTCGACATTTCACATACAAATAACCAGACACTCCCTGTTTAAATTCACCTAACATGTTGTCAAAAGTTAATCAGTGCTGTTAATGGTAGCCAACTGGTCCAAGTCTACATTTTTTACAAAATCTTAGGTTTGACCGTAACACGCCAAACTCAACGATTCTTCTTCCCTCTTTCCAACCCTCATTATCAACCGATTTAGGAAGAGTTGATGTCTTGTAGAGCTGGTTTGGTTGACACGTAATACTGGTTACCTGCACTATAGTTATGTTCTATAATAAAGTCGGAATACTTGAGTTTTCTGCATCTTTTTACACTTTTTTTGAATCGACCGAGCGTATCACGCTGTAAGACGCCATGTTAGATATCTGCGGAAATTACGTCATTTTCTTGGGGAATACTACCACGTGACCGGGGATATTCGCTATTATTAGAATTCCGACTTTATACGTAAACAAACGAAGTTCGTTACGATAAATGGCGAGATATGGCGGTAATTGTCGAAGATTGCCGATTTCATTATGGGTCTTCTACCTTATAATTTTTTAACTGTTATTGTGAACTACAATACCCTCCATGATACATATGATGTTTCAATTTGATAACTCTTAGGCAAAAAATAAAAATTTGTTTTTTTCCACTTCCCGACCCATTAAAATAAGGTTGGGTAGGTAGGTAGGTAGGTTATAGCACGGACTTTAATTGACATTTAAATCCGTGGTTATTGGTAGGTACATGAAGGACTTTTTTATATGTGCATAATAATATAATTCCTTGGCAAAATAGTTATTTACTGAACAAAGTTGGATTAACTTTCAGAACTGATATGTTTGTGGCGATTATCTGGCAAACTTGTTTTTATAGAAAAGTTTCTGGTGAACTTTCAGCGAATAATTTTTTTGATAGAAAGATTCTGGCAATCTCTGGCAAATTAGTTTTCCACTGAAAGTTTCTGGCAAACTTTTGGCGAACAACTTAATATTCTGTAGCTTAAGGTCTTCAGCGTACCCGTTTATATACTATGACATGACGTGAACGCTGAAGATAACCCCATAGGGAAAGTCCACCAATAATCGTGCCAGGAATCTGACACGCTCGTATTTATTCATCGAACATGCCATGAAATAAAGTGAAGCATACCTTGATAAAACTATATATAATCTGTTGATAAGCCGAGGATGGACAAATAAAAATCTTATTACGAACATAAACTACCTAATAGTTTCCGACAGGTAAAATTTTCGGCACTTGGCCGCCATATTGCCAAAATGTTTGATCACGTGATTACGAGATTGACCTTTACGAACCCATGTGCCACCAATATTTTTATAAATTACTTTTTTTTAAAGATATTGAAAAAGGTGATTTACTGACTTTTATATTCAATACAATCGTATTTAAGTACTAAAAAATTAATGAAAATAAATAAAAACATTATCTTGAATAAAAGTATCGAAATCATGTCAACAAAATGTTCTAAATATAGTACGCGACTCTATTCAAATCTGTTCCCGCGAATGACGTCATACGAGATCTCGCGTGGCACCTGAATGTCATGTCCAACTGTAGTCGGCGTAAATTGATATTTTAATGTTAAATAGGCAATTTTAATGACGGTAGTAACATTTTGATACTTTAATTGGTATAGAATGATATTAAAATGATTGTTTTATCGTAAAATGCACAAGAATTGATTGGGTCAAGTGTATTTGCAAGTGAAAAACAAGAATAAATCAACTTATGTTATTCTGGTTAGGTTTCGTAACGGGTCTAATCCAAAACTTTAATGCCGCATCAGATGAAAAACAAAAATGTTAAAAAGCGGCTTATAAAGTTTTGGAAGCCAGAACTAAATATTCTGGTGAATTCGCCGCAAAGTCGCCAAATGTTTGCCACAGAGTTGCCACTAGTGGCGATATCTGGCAAACACTTGACACAGTGTTTTGGCGAACTAAAAGGTTTGCAGCGAATTTGCGGCAAAGTTGCGGCGAGTTTGCGGCAAACCTTTCCTTTTGGTACGGGAAATAAAAAATGGAATGTTCAAATTTGATGGGACAGACTATAGTTTGCTTTCACCTCACGTTTTCGATTACAAAAAACTAGCAAAAACCTCTAAACATACATTAAAGACACTTACTCAATAAGGTTATTCATATCAAATTGGCATGGAATAAATATTTAAATAGAAAATATAATTAGAATCTACCTGAGTCTCCATTTATTATAATGGAGTAATGAAATCAAAGGGGAGTTACTCTGTAAAACAGATCTTTAGAATTTAAAAGCAAGTAAACATCATACTGTATTCAACAATTAATCAATTCAGTATAGCAATACAACGTGTCCATGAAGTCATTCTCGGCATCATTTCTCAAGACAAATATTCCTAGATTCAAAAAGAAAAAACCGTAAACATTTTATTTCTGTACTGATTTCTATGGGATATGCACTATAAGCTTACCACAGAAAATTTGATCACTTTCAGTATACGGGTCGTTTGATCGAGCACTTTGTAAAACCTTGAAAGTTGTTTGTATAAGACTGGCCTTCAGATGCAAGCTATTTCATTTTCTTGCATTATCTGATCTTCGCTATAATTAAAAGTTCAGTTTACCATCCGAAATCCTGCCTCAATATGTTTATATTGTTATTTTTTAAGGCGTAAACTTACTTGTTTCTTCAGCTGTAAATTATATGGTACCAGTTTTCAGAATTGGTTGCAAATACGAAAAGCAACATGCCTTCCGTTCCCTTTCTATAATTATGTTAACTATAAAAGGCATGTTTATTAACAATACAATGTATTTTGAGTAGCGTATGAACTAATGATTTGTGCACCAGGAGTGATTTTGAAAGTCGTAAAATTGCTATATATATTTGTAAAGAAAATATTGCTAAACATATATAAATGTCATGACGCAATATACCAATCATGGACTTCAAAACAGAGAAAAAGAAAAAGAATTCCAGAAGAACGCACAAAACGGCAAAATTGAAAATGTTGCAGATTCGGTTTGACTGAGCCTGTACATGGACGGTACTGGAAAATACAAGCTATCATTCACGGCCTCTATAGAACCTAGCCTTCATATCCTTTGCATTGAAATGAGTGTTATTGTATTTCAGAATAACTAAAATACAAATAAGAAATATCTTTGCTCTCAGTGCGAGAAAGATTTAAAATATAGAAAAAGGTCGGGAGAACAATTACACGTGCATATATACTAGTACCTATAATAACAGACACATTTATACTAGGTAAAAAAACGGTAGCAATGTTTTAATACGATTAATTCAGCTTTTTAACACAGTCGTTGATTTTTACATGTTCTATTTCCATATCCAAGAGAGCAGATATCCGGAATTTCGATAATGTTGTCACATATATTTACTTCTTTATTGTATGTAATCAATATATTTCTGCCGTTTATAAGTGTGTTTAAATAAACTTATTATAGAATTGTGTGTTTCTATTTATAGAATTGCGTGTTTCTATATATATAAATGAGTATATTTATATATCGTAATATATAGACAAAATTAATGTGACAAGACAGACAGATTAAATTTATTAAAAGTAAACGTTAAGATTTGTTCAAAGTAAAAAGTCTAGCGTTTGCCCCGCCCGGCGGTGGCTCTTGTTAGAATTGCGTGTTACTATTTTTAGAATTGCGTGTTTCTATTCTTAGAATTGCGTGTTTCTATTTTTAGAATTGCGTGTTTCTATTTATAGAATTGCGTGTTTCTATTTTTAGAATTGCGTGTTACAATTTTTAGAATTGCGTGTTTCTATTTTTAGAATTGCGTGTTTCTATTTTCAGAATTGCGTGCTACTATTTATAAAATTGCGTGTTTCTATTTTTAGAAATGGCGTGTTTCTATTTTTAGAATTGCGTTTTACTATTTATAGAATTGCGTGTTACTTTTTTGAGAATTGTGTGTTATAATTTTTAGAATTGTGTGTTTCTATTTTTAGAATTGCGTGTTACTATTTTTAGAATTGCGTGTTACTATTTTTAGAATTGCGTGATTCTATTCTTAGAATTGCGTGTTTCTATTTTTAGAATTGCGTGTTTCTATTTTTAGAATTGCGTGTTTCTATTTTAAGAATTGCGTGCTTCTATCTTTAGAATTGCGTGTTTCTATTTTTAGAATTTCGTGTTTCTATTTTTAGAATTGCGTATTTTTTAGAATTGCGTGTTTCTATATTTAGAATTGCGTGTTTCTATTTTTAGAATTGCGTGTTTATATTTTTAGAATTGTGTGTTTCTATTTTTAGAATTGCGTGTTACTATTTATAGAATTGCGTGTTACTATTTTTAGAATTGCGTGTTACTATTTTTAGAATTGCGTGTTTCTATTTATTGAATTGCGTGTTTCTATTTATAGAATTGCGTGTTTCTATTGATTAAATTGCGTGTTTCTTATTATTGAATTGCGTGTTTCTATTCATATATATACAAAATAGATAAACAAAACTAATGTGACAAGACAGACCGATTAAATTTATAAAAAGGATTTACACTTTGATTTTACACATAAAAAAGTTAAAGAAACATGTCAATGGTAATAAAAATTCTAGGAAAGACTTGGCAAACAAGATATTTAATCAAATATAACTTAGAACTGTTTCGCACTTAAAATTTCTCATATTTTGATTTTTATGTTCAAAGCGAAAGGTTCCAAGTGACATTTTGATAGAACAAAAGCATGTTTTTTTTTCTTATTTAATTTAAGATAAAGCAACATTTTAGCATTTCTAATTATTCAGTAAGTGATGGAGTATAAATTGCCAGATAGGACTGTTTCGCATTTACTTTTTATTTTGATTTCATATTTTAGGTGTATGACATTCTCTTACTTTACTTTCAAGTTCATGAAATTTTAAGTTTGACTGTGTTTAAATTAGAAACATAAATAAAGGTCATAATTGATAGTGTTCAAAACTTTTAAAGAACATGATGGGCATTAATTACACCTGAAAAACAAAAAAACAAATGCCAATTAATTTGATAATCATTTTCAGGTGAACTATACAAAGTATATGGAAAGCTCAATCTTGTTTGCCCCGGCGTCCGCGTCCAGATTTCAGATTAAAGTTTTGGTACATTAAAATACTTAAGGTATCAGCTTCAAACTTCAAATTTATGTTCTTTGGCCTTCGTGGTCAATTCCTATGCATCAAAACTCCAAACCGGTGTTAAATAGCTAATAAACACCGATAAGATCAATATTATTTCTTGATCATTACATATTGTGTGACAATTGGTACATAACTCTAGCATTACTACTTTGAGAGTTATTCCCCCTTGAACTTTGAATTTATGTTAACAAATGTTTTTTTTTTACTATAACTTGTCATATGGATAAGAGTTATAAAATGCAAGCTCCTGTATTCCCAGAACTATCCCCATTTAATTTTTGAAATTCATTTGTAAATTGATTTTATTAGTATTATCTTTGTTGTTATAAATGGTATCTGCTCTAGACTTAAGATAAATAATTGTTCTCTGTCATTAGTCACATCATGCATGACAAGGTTCATAACTCTAGCTTCTTTTTTCAAGAGTTGTTTCGACTTTGAACTTATAATTTACTTTAAATTCTCTTTGCTTTTATCAT